CTTGCCCAGTAGATGCAACTTGGACATGTCAAGCAGCCTGGGAACTAGCGCAAGAGCCTTAACAGGATTTGTGAGTACCTCGCTCAGGCTCAATGAATCCCATGGACAGCATGGCAAGGCCTGGACGTTCAGGCAGAAGCCAGGCCCGCATTAGGGGAATCGTCCATGAACCTTTCGGTTTAGGGTTTAGGGTTTAGGGCTTAGGGTTTAGGGTTTAGGGTTTAGGGTTTAGGGTTTAGGGTTTAGGGTTTAGGGTTTAGGGTTTAGGGTTTAGGGTTTAGGGTTTAGGGTTTAGGGTTTAGGGTTTAGGGTTAGGGTTTAGGGTTTAGGGTTTAGGGTTTAGGTTTAGGGTTTAGGGTTAAGGGGGTTTAGGGTTTAGGGTTTAGGGTTTTTTTAGGGTTTTAGGGTTTAGGGTTAGGGTTTAGGGGGTTTAGGGTTAGGGTTTAGGGTTTAGGGTTTAGGGTTTAGGGTTTTTAGGGTTTAGGGTTTAGGTTAGGGTTTAGGGTTTAGGGTTTAGGGTTTAGGGTTTAGGGTTTAGGGTTTAGGGTTTAGGGTTTAGGGTTTAGGGTTTAGGGTTTAGGGTTTAGGATCACCAGGACTCGTCGACTGTTCGGGCGGAGGTTTGGCAATTTGGCAAAGGCATGGTTCAGTCTCTTCGAGTTTGATACAGCGGTGCCAACGAAATCCTACATGAACTCTTGATAAGCTGCCAAGTCTCTCTTAAAGTCAGACTCATCAAGCCTAGCAATTGTTCGCAATTTTTGAACCTTCAAGTTTCTGACTGTGACGGTTACAGACATCCTGCTGCCTCCATATCAGACTTTACACAGCGCCCCTCTGAGATCCCCACGCCGTGCGCGCGGAGTTGAGGAGATCAACCCACAAGTGCGTTGCTGCGACCTACCACGGAGATCTCATGTGATTGATTGTAGATAGCTCCGGACCTCGTGTGAAGGGACTATGCCTGCTACGCAAAGGAAGGATTGTCTAGAGGAGGGAGGGCTCCAGGCGCAGCAGGTTTGTCAACGTGGGGCGAAGAAAAGCTAAGAAGCATCTGTGCACACCAACAGGGGCAGAGGTGCGAGGCCGGCAGGTGGGAAAAGAAAAGTTCAGTAACCGTTGCAAGCCTCCAACTTTTGACAAACCGAACCTTAAGCCCTTTGCGCTTATGTAGACCTTGTCTTCGAATGCCCACAAACCAAGAAGCTCAAGGTATCAAATGAACCAGTGACTACTCCACTGCAGAAACTACTCGAGATTCCCGGCCTCCTCCCAGATTTCGTTCTCGCCACCCCGAAAAGTAGCCAGGTTGCTGCTCGTTTCAGAGTGAACACATCTGCGGCAAAGGCTGCAGCAGTAACATCGGACCGTTGCAGTCATTCTTGCAGTCTGAGCTTGCACTGCGTTTTGCTTCAAGACGAACTTGCTGTCCAATCAAGCTGCCGGCAACTGCACTACTGTTCTCGAATGAAAACATGCATCGACTGACTTCGCCTGAAATAGGCCACGCCGTTGTGATGGTTCTCATTCACTGCAAACATGTCGAAGACCTGAGAACAGATGCGCAAGCATGTTCTGGAACGTAGCATACCTACCAGTAGCAGCGCTGAGAAATTTCAGCAAGGGGGCGTGGCGACGTGTCGACTGTCGTTTTGATTACGTTTCCTAATGGCATGGGCCCAGAACTTTGGTAAGCTCAGTCCGCATTCTCGTACCCAGGTCCTAACAAGTCCACAGACCACTTGACCGTCACATGGCTTGTATTGTACTGCCCAGAGCTATGCCATCGGCCCTTAAGGTCCCATAGCAAGACCGACCGAGCGCGGGACGTCGAGGGCTTCAAAAAAAGCTCCTGGGTCTGCTTGCGACTGAGCCTCCAGTCCGTGTTGTGTGTGAACCATTAGAGCTGCATGGCCTTAATGTGCAGTGCAGTGCAGGTAGCTTCTTTTGGTGAGAGCTGCTCTTCCCCGCTCAGAGCAAATGTCAGCGAGGGTCCAGAGACACGACGGATGGTCTAAAGAGCCGGGATGTAAGTAGTAGATGGTCAGAGATTGAAGCCTATTGGACAGGAAAGCATCCCGCTACTCCTTCATTGGCTGCCAGGTACTGTACATGGCTGCGCTGCAGGCAAATTGGAGGCAAACCACCTGTCACGATGCAATGCTCAGCTCGGCTTGAAATTACTGTTTTCCAGAATGGTTCACAAAACTCTGCAGATCATCACTGTCACATAACCCCCCAAACTTTGAAAAAGCCTGGGATTTCCAAAGGCCCCTTGATAAAGAAGCCTGATTTCGCTAAGTCCTCTCGTTGCAAAGTCTATCCAGTGTATATCCCCTTGCAGAACCACATGTGCTGAGCCCTGCTGTCATCTGCGCAGACTGGGCTGCAGATGTTGGCACCGACGGAGCAGTTAAAAGATACGAAGCTTCTCTGCGCACTCACACGCGTTCTGTATGCTACGCTGCACATGGCAGGTCAAAGTGAAACTTTGCCTCCTTCTGGCAAACACAGAGGCCGAAAACAGGATGATACGTGCTGATCGGCTCAAGATGCACAAGAGATTGCCAGAACTGCCCGCTGAGACTACTGATTCTGAATCTGCTGTCACACCTCGAACTTCCTCCAGTATCCTCCAGCATCTCCGACATTTTCCGCCAAGCTGTCACGAAGCTTTGACAAAGCGCTTCACCGGGCTTGGACCGCTGCGACCTCTGTCAAAAGGACGAATCTGGCTGAGGGCGATCTGCTGTCTCCCTAAGATTGCTTGCCAAGGAGCCGAAGGCTTCCTCTTGGATGACGTGACTTCCAAGCAGAAAGGGCACTCAGAGTTTGCCTGTCATGAACCGCTGCAAGGATTTGCACGGCTGGGGAAGAAGGGTCTTGAAATTGGACGTGCACAGTAGCTGACAACCTTCGGAGGTAGAGCCTGGGTTAAGCATCTTATGCTGGAACGTCAAGGCGGGCAGGCCCGTCGAAAGCAAGCTCTGTGAAAAACGGCTCCGCACCTCAGCGGGCTTGGATAGGAAGGGCATGTGCCGAGCATGGTACTGCTGCAAGACATCTTTCTGCCTCCAGCATTTATGAGACATACAGAAATGCAGTCCACTGCCCCCAAAATCTCTGAATGCACAATTCAATGGAAAGGTTGACTGCACGTGTCTTCCAGCAAGTGGAAGTGAAGCTCTGCTTCCATGCACGTCGATGCGTGACTCTCTTTGATGCAGGCTTTGAGAGGGCCACAAGCTTGTTTCCCTGACACTGCATCGCATGCCGAGACAAGCCGCGGAGGCTCTCTGAAGAGACTTTCCGCAGCGTAGGCGAAGCTCAAGTTGCCGCCAAGCACTCCATTTGCGAGCGCAAACCTTCCTCATAGCCGTCACAGCCCACAAACCTGCCCCCTTCCCTCCAATTTTCTTTGGCAGATGGCCGATCGATTCGTGCTGGCTCTGGAATCAGTTCTTGCAGTTCCAGGGTTGAGGTGGGGGGGGGGGGGGGGTTGAGGGACTGGGGGTTTGCAGGATGGGGAGTTGGCTACAATTTGTCCGTTTTGTCGGATTGGATTCCAATGTCCTGCAGGACCTGTACCATGTACAAACAGGCATCTACTGCTGACCTACCCTGGACTGCACAAAAGCAAGAAGACTTCATTCTCACCCGATTTTACAAATGAGACGGTGGAAAGCTTCGCCGTAAGCTAGCTCGTTTTGGCGACTTGCGTTCCAGGCAGCTCAATCGATAACTGCACATTGACATGAAATTACAGGTTGGTGACGGCGATGATGATGATGATGACGACGACGGTACTACAACAATGACGGAAGCAAACATCTTGTTATTTTCGGTGGCTAGCGGCGAACACGCAGACATAAGCAAAAAGACATGCTTTCACATGTTTCACACCACACCCAAACAAAATAAATAGTTCTCAACTGGCTTCACGCTGGAGCGTTGGATGTTACAGCACGGCGGCCTTGAAATGAGTCGTTCAGCTGTACAGCTGGAAGCTACATGCGGATGTCGTCTGGGAGCCCCGCTGCTGGCAAGCGTGCAGCTTCTCAACCTGGCATGTGGCGGCACGTCATTGTCGCATCAAGCGTAGCTACTCATGAAGCACAACCAGGTCATTCCTGCTGACTGAAACACACTGTTCTCCGATGCATGGTGGAAGTGGAAAGGATGTGATTCACCAATGATCAGATGGGACGCCCCAGCGCAAACCAAGACAGAATAGCATTGACAGTGCATTCAGCATGGTGCGATACTGAAAGGAGCGCACACTGAGATTGCAGTGAAATTCATTGAACTGAACCATGCCCGGAAAAGCAAGCCTGAGTACTGCAACTTACTTACCATGGCAGTCAACAAGCAGTCTGACATCAATGTCAACTAGCTTCGAACGTTACTGACGCTGAATTTCTTGGCATCTAGCTCACGGCTTCACAAAAACGAGACACATCCAAAACGGCCCCAATTACTCATCGCCGTGATAGCTCGTGCTTTGCTGAGTGATTTAGGAGCTGCAGTTACGACCTCCAACCAGTAAGAAGTGACGCCAGACACTGTGACGAATGAAGCCTAGGCTAATTAGAACAGAGGAAGCCAACAACGGATCTTGGACAATATTAGTGAGCTTGGTGGCGTGACTTTAGGAGATCCGGGCCTCGAATAAGTAGACTGGATCTCCAGAAGCACAAATCGGACAGGTCCGCGCACAACCAGAGCCTCGGTGAGTGCTCGAACATACTCATCAACACTCACGCACCCCGCCCGAACGAGACACTGCTTGCATACCCACACTAACACTGCGAAAGCGTGCAGACAACAGCACTGGCGCTGCCAGCAATACCAACACGTTTCGATCCCTTCTTGGCCGCCACAAAGCTTGGTCCACGGCATTTTGTACAAGAGTGGATGTGGTCGGAGCAGACAGCTACGCAACCTCAACTCCCGTGCCGTGTCTGCAGCAGACGGCCATAAGATGAATGTAGTAACGGTAGCTAACAGTGATCGTGCGACGAATCCCTTGACCCGGGCTCCCCGCGCGAGACTTTCGAGTAGAGCGGGCAGCTCCAGCCCTCCAGGTGGATCCGGATGAGATCCTGCAGAAAAACGCGCAGAAGCTGCGCAGAAGCTGCGCGGAAGCTGCGCGGAAGCTGCGTATGAGGAGCTCGGGAGACACAGGGCTGTCCCGAGATGTCACAAGCAAACGGTGCGGAGAAGCAGGCAAACCGGTATCGGAAATCCGTCACCACAAGTTGCAACCTGTGTAACCACTTGCGTCCAACAGCCAAGGCGTCCTGCATGGCATAGTGCTCATGCCCACGGGCGACGTGGGCGTCAAGCTGCAGCCAGAAGCCAAAAGATAAAGAGAAGATACAGGCACATATCTCGCACCTAGAAGCACCTGTCTTGACAACTGCTTCGGATCTTCCACTAGACATGAGTGCTAACGTAGGCTTCCTGAGTTTTGCCAGGCCTGGGCCAGGAGGCTCTGCATCTGAACCCCAAACTCGCAGCCCTGCTCTGCCACAATGTCTTTGATTCTGGTGAGCTGCTGACCTCAGTTGGTATGTTCTTCATCCCAGGAGGTTCGAGCGCAGGAAGAGGCGCAGACGCATGGAGACACGGAGAGGCAGAGAGAGAGAGAGGAGCGAAAGGGAGAGAGAGAGAGGGGGGAAGTGAGAGAGACAAACAAACGGACAAACACACAGACCGATAAAGAGATTGGAGAAGGCTCCTCTCGGGGCACGGCGGCATTTGTGGATCTCAGTCAGGATCTTCTGGGAAGACACCTCTTGCATGTCAGCACATGACAGAAGCACAGCGCCTCTGCGAATGACGGGTCATGTGCACAAGTGCCCCAGGCGTGCAGAAAGCACGCACAATCGCAAGTCTGGCACAGGCATTTCTAAGTATGATTGGCGGCTAAGCTTGGTGGCCGACGCAAAAATTTGAACTGCCCCGAGCCCAGATTCGGTCGACGAAACTCCCAAAATCGGCCCGGAAGCCTTTTACCAACTGAAACGCTGAAGCCGCCTTGGTCTGCCGGATGCTTGTGATGGGGACCAAAGGCTGGTTGACTTGCAGGTCCAAGTACTTGGCAGCAGCTCTGCACACCTCACCGAAAGCGACAACACAACCCAGCGCATGAAATGGGGACCCGCGTCGCCTGCACTACACAGGGCTGTGTGGCCTTCTTGGGTTCGAAGTCCCAGCGCTGCACAACCCTTGCAGGTATCACGCGAATATCGCTGTGATGGCAGTCTGTGCAGAAGTAGTAGCCCATGTAGTGGCAGAACCTGCAAGGTCAAGCATGATGGCAGCTCTCCTCTAGCTTCGCTCTCTTGAGGGTCGCCTGGGCCCCTGGAAGAGCGAAATGGCTGGCAGTCTCCCTTTGCACCCGGGACACATGCCACGCTGTCTGGAAACCTGGCGCAGCACGGTGCATCAGGTTGCATCGATGGTCTACACTGCGAGCTGCTTTGAAGTGCACCTGTACTTCCTTCGGAAGCCGGGTGTGCATCTTCAACTTCCACTCCAGATGAACCTGCGTCTTGCAAGTTATGAACACTTACGACTCCGCCTGCTCGTGCCCTGACCCTTCCAAAGTCCTGGTGACACGAAAGCTCAGTTTGCCTAAGATGGATGCTGTGGCCACGGCCCCATGCGATGGAAACAGCGCCGGATGCTCCCCCTGGCAGCCGGGCTGTTGAACATGCTGACATATCGGCGTATCCCCCAATGACGGAGCACAGGCGGTCGCTCTCAACATTCCGACGGCTCCAACCCGCAACTCATTGCAGAGAACTGCCTTAAAGCGAAAACGTATGTGAAAGCCGAGTGCCAAACTTCAAGATCCTGATTCCGGACACAGGCCACGCAACACTGGAGGGCCTTCACTTCGAGAAGGGACGGCGTCGAGACCTTCTCAGAAAAGCGGCCGGCTCACACTTTAGGGTTTCTTGGGCTTGCAGGTTGGGGTGACGATTGAGTTTAGGATGCAAACTGTCGCCATCATACGAAGGACTTCAACGTCAGAAGGTCTCAGTCTACGAACCTCCAGAACCCAGCATCCCAAACGCCGGACAGGGCCCAAAGCAGTTTCGGCCCAACTTCACTGCGGCGCCGACCGACCGCTGCGACGAGCTCTCAGAGTCGCTGCCAGAGCCGTCCTCGGGGTCACGAAAGGGCTCGCGAAAGGGCACATGCGTCGTATGATTCTGAAGCATTTGAATTGGAGAAAACTGGTTGGTGTTGCTACATATAGAGGGCTCAGGACTTGAGAGCCTATGGACAATGTCTGCTGCCTGCTCGTTGGCTGGAGGGCCAAGTACTAGGGATGATGTTGCGGCGACTGTTGCAGGACATCGCTTTGTGCACGATTATAGCCCACGGCCAAAGGACCTTCCGAATCCATGCGTTTGCACAACGGAAATGGCTCGACCTGAACCGAGTCCTAGACTGAGATGAGCTGCATGACAGCAAGATGGGCCCAGTTTTAGCTGAGCCCCCGCGCCCCTGAAATTGGAGTATCTGGGTGCCTGGAAGAGGCACTCGGAACCACCACATGTTGCTCTACTCCCTGCTCCTTCTTTCGCCGTGCATGCGGCTTATGATGCGGCAAAACCATCATACGCAAAAGCGCGCGCGCGCGCGTGCACCCGCAAACTGAAAAGTCGCGTCGCACTGTCTCGCAAGGTCATTGAACTCGGAAGGGCTGAGCCGCTGAGACTTTCAACAGTCCCACTTGACCACTAGAATTTGACTCTTCAAGGCTCTACCAACAGACTTGCATCCAAGGCGGACGTTCTGGCTAATTATTCCGAGCAATGACTTGGAAACCATATGACACCACGATGCGGAAACAGCGTACAGCGATTGAGATTGACATGTTTCTGTTGACTTTAGAAGCCTCACGTTCGCACACTATGCACACTATTTGGCCCACTTCGTTGGGTTGGGTGGACAGCCTTGGAATAAATCGAATGATTCCACCTTCACGCACTTTAATTGTCTTCTATGGCCACTCTTGGTCACGAAGCTGATTTTCGTGCATGAACTATGTTTCATGAGGTTCAGATGACATACGATTAGCAGCCCAGATGAAGGGTAATGCAGATACTCAACGCCCTGGAGTACGATGGAAGGAAGCTTGACTGTGGTAAATCAGAAAACCCTATTTGCTCATGCAGACTCCAACCTTGCAGTGTCTATGACCAGTGTGGGCAAATTATCGAACTCGAAGAGCACCAGAACTGACACAAAAAACAGCATCGAAACCTAAATTCCTGCGTTCACTGTGCAGTCCCTGAACATGACCCCAAACCTCAACCTGAGCCGCTTGCAAGAATGGACACTCCTGGGACCCCAACGCCGCTCTGGAGCTCGGGTGTGAGTGGCCTGACTCCTCAGGTTTGGAGCTTTGGGTGTTGGCGCAGGGGAGTTGCTGGGGGAGAGGGAGGGAGATTGGGGTTGGCGAAGGGGGGGTGGGGGGTGGGGGAGGGAGGGAAACTAAGGCTGCGTTTACGAGACGTGATCGTGCTGGCTGCAACTGTGTATCAAGATGCGCACTAGCAAATACAGGAGCCTGCGAAACGCTACGAAAAAATGCTAGCAGCAGCTAGATTTTGACATACACTGGTTGTGTCAGCGGTCTGTCCCAAACCTGCCTCGCAGCGGTTGCTGTCACGCCTACTACTTACAGCAATGAGGCAAGGCCCTAACGGATTTGGCATCGCTGGCCCCACGTGACCGCGCGTCACCTCAGAAGCCGTCAGTTGCTGGCAGCCTCTACCCTTCTTTACTGATTTCTCACGCCCTAAGCCAGAGGTGGAGTTCGGCCGATCAGCTTGCCATCACGGGGCCGAGTTCCGTTTTTGTCCCCAGGTTTCCCGTGCCTGCACCTGTTCGCGCACCTTTGCTTGCGCAAGCACCTTGAACACTTCAAGTCTAGGCGGCTCGTGTCTGCAGGCTCCAAGGCCGGCACTGCGGGCAAGCTTCGATGCCGTCACAGAAATGGAGGCCCTGAAGATGTCAGCAGTACGAGGCACACAGCAGGCATCCTCCAAGGTTAAAGACCAGTCCTAACCCAGACTCATGGGACCTGGTTCCACCAGTCGAAGCACGTTCAACACTGACAGCACTTTGTACCCCCCCAAACAGTACTCGCTGTTTGCGAAGTCATGCTAAGTCAATTGTGCCTCATCAGCCTCCTGGCAGTGTCTTGCCGGGAGTCCCTCCAAAGGCCCTCAAGTGCAGCGATAGCGTCGCCAGCCTCGTCTTCAGCGCTCAGACCCACTAAGAACTCACTGAGACTCACTGTAGCCCACTTGAACCTTAAGACTTACACATCTGCGTTGCACACCTCATCAGCTTCGCCAGCCGATGGACCTGTCCACTCTGTCTTTGGAAGGTTAGTCTTGCCATTGCAATCATTGCACGACATGAACGACAGATGGCAGCCGAGACACAAGGATCATCAAGCAGAAGAGGGGCTGTGCTTGCTCGCAGCCTGACGCTGCATACGCTTGCACTCTGTGGTATCACTGGTGATCACTGCACGGAGATGCGCGGGAGCAACGTGCGAGTAAGCTCTTGATGGCACCCAGACCTGCTCCCACTGGAGCCGGAAGGAGAAGCCGCCTGAGATCACAAGATCGCAAAGAAACAAATATCCTAGTGAAGCCGCCATCTTAACTGAAGTCTGTGGGCAATGGACGCCGCCTCCATGGGAACCGAGACCTCAGGCACCTGACACGCAAAGCTTTGCCTGTAAATGCCTCTTCCATCCCCCAAGGAAAGCTTGGGCAGCGGACTGATCTTCTCCCAAGGTGCCGTCGTGGCGCACCTCCATGCCTTGATCACTCGTCTTTCTTGTCTTTCTAGCACAATTATCTCAATTTGGGCCGCGTGGCCCGAGCCTGGCTTTGCTCCCAGCATGGACGAGATCGCGTAAACTGATTGCGACCTCAATCGCCAAGCCCAGTTTCAGAGTCTCAGCCGCAGCACATGGGCTGTCAGGTCAGGTGATTGGCACTGCGGGAGCAGTTGGAAAATTTCGCAGTGCAGTCCGGCGACTCCTGGCAAACAAATGATACTTCATTACGGCAACAAGGAGCCTCTGGCACGTCTTCCACCGGTATGGAGGCGTTCAGGCCGAAAGCATCCTCATGAGAAGTAGGACTACAGGCATACACACCACTAGCTCATCTGCGACTCAACATTTTTTTCCAAGCCCAAACCTGGCTTGACACCGAAGCTATGTTTGGTGCAGTAAAGACAGCTTCGCCATGCAACGCCCATGGAGCTTGGAAGCCGCAATTCATCGCGTGTCATCAAAGATCTCAAGAAGCCTTCCACATGTCTGGACGTTCTCTTGGCAGGGCACCGCAAGCTCGGCGCCGAGGTCTGCGGCCGAGCCGAAGGCCAAGGCATCGGAACCCTCCTGGCAGATGCTGATTGCAACTGAACAGATTAACATCAGGAGGATCGGGAGGGCACTAATGGCACCAATGGCCAAGTGTCCCACAAACCATGGCCTTGAGGAGAGCAGTTCCACAGGCAGGATGGAGGACTGAGCCTGCAACGTGGCTGAGGCTTAGGACCCAAAAGTTGCAAGCTACGCTTTACAGAGCGTTTGGCTAAGACAAAGGTGCCATCAGTCTGGACAAGGATCCCACAGAGGCTCCTTCACGCAGCCCATCTGTCTGGGTTTCTTCTCCCATTAAACTTGTCTGGTTTGTTGGCATGCCTGGCAAAAAATTCTAATGTTTTGAGTTTCTAGTTTTTCCCCACCCTCGGTGTGGGGTTGTTAGATTTTAAACTCAACTCTTCTCCTCGCCCGGAACTCTTCTCCTCACCCGGAACTCTTCTCCTCGCCCGGTCTACTCCTCACTCATCTCTGGAGTGCCCAACCCCAAATGTCCCTCGAGTGCCCAATTCGAGTGTCCCTGGAGTGCACAGCCTCAGAGTCAGTCTGCATGGAGTGCCCAACGCCAGAGTGGCCCAACCCCGGAGTCTCTCTGGAGTGCCCTACCCCTGAGAGTCTCGTGCCCAACCACAGATGTCTCCGGAGTGCGCAGCCCCAGAGAGTCCCTGAGTGCCCAACCCAGTTTGAAGAATACGACGGTTGCGGCGCCTTCCATGGTAAGGGCCTCGAAGCCGCCCTCGTCATCTACGGGGCACTCCGTTGCCATGTCCTGACAGCTGGGGTCTTACCAACCTTTTTAGAGACGCTCCTGCTAGCCAGCGGTCCTCCAGGTCCAATACATTGGAGCATGTGGTCAAGGCTTCTGACAGCAAGGCCTGGCTGGCAGTGTATTGCGTCGGGCGGGGGGGAGGGGGGGTTGTGACGGGGGGGGGGGGGGGGCGTTCTTCTTCAAACAGACACACACACACACACACACATACACTCACACGTACTCACACAGACTCACACACACTCACACACAAGTAGAGTGCTCTCTCGCGCGAAGGCTTGGGGATTCAGCTTTGGGACTCACGCGCTCCAGGAGTGGCCGCGGGCCCCCCACAGTCAAAGGGGCGTTACTTAAAGCCAGGGGTGTCGGGATTGCAGTGAGGCAACAGACACTACAGTAGATGGCACAGGAGGACTGGCAGTTGTCAGTGAAGCCTTAACCCGAGCGGCCTTTGCAGGGGCCTCCTCCAGGTCCACGTCAGGCCGGCCGCGGCTCCCTTGTGCCTGACTTCCAACAGTTCACGTGCGAAACACCATGAAACAGCACATGCCAAAATCAACAGAGAATGGCCAGGGACCACACCATACGCAAAACAGCATGGAAATGGCCAAGTCAATGTACGAGTAAGTACTGTTGCGGTGGCTTCCAGACAAGATGGCAACAGGCTGAAGACTCCTAGGCCCTAGGCCAAGCCAAGAAAAAGGACCCACGACCTCAGCCTCAGCCTTTAGGCTGAAACGAGCCTCAAACTCCAGCTGTCGGACAAGCTCCTCGGTCTCATTCAGAGCCAGGGCAGCCTTTGCATGCGGCTGTCCAGCATAGTCATAATCCAGTCGCTTTTGCAAATCCAGGATCTGAGTCTAAGGTCTAAGGACTTGATGGTGTCAGAGATATCTGGGGCATGTGGCGCAGTGCGCGGCATCAACCTCAACTACCCGGACTTCCGAAAAGGAAGCCATTGTCCCGACACTGCCTCCTCCAACTTCTCAACCGTGGTGTCGGGCACAATGTCTGACCCGTCGGCACCATCAGCTGCCTAACTGAATTGAAGTGTAACAGAGTGTAACCATGTGTACACGGAGTGCGTCCGACTCCCTTCACGGCCTTCTTTTCTGCTGCCGGAGTGAGGGCATTCTTGGCATTCTCGGCTGCAAAGCCTGATGAACCAAGAGAGGACTTGCAACATCTTGCATGTTGCTGCTCCTTATGTCTTGATTCTTGATCTGCAGTGTGACCGTTGTGTGTTGTCTTCACATATTCGTTTGTTAAGAGCTGCTCACGCTAGACGTGCTTTGCCTCAGTGACCAAAGGACAGACAGTGACATGTGCACTCCGGGACTCTGGTGGGCAGACGCCAACACCGCCGCCATCTAAAGGATACTGCAACAGGCGAACGGCCAACACGCTAAAAATGCGTGTGTGTGTGTGTGTGTGTACAAAAATGCGTGTGTGTGTGTGTGTACACGCAAGTACCAACCATATTGAGAAATCGCAACGGAAATACTGGTCTCGAATCCTCCCCTGTCGCCTTGCTGAAGGTGCTTTGTGCTTGTGGCACAGAGTGTGGGACACACAGTCCGGCTTTGTTAGGGTATGCTCCATGCAGGGCTTCTCGGATCGGATGAAGCCTTCTCCATTTGAGATGCGGAGGGGGGGGCTTACATTCAAATTTCAGCGCAAGTAACATCACGCCCGATACACAGCAGCTATCAGCAAAAAACACAAGATACAACTAAGTATACTACACGAGCCTTTCTTTTCCGAAGTCTGTGCCAATATCCGTGCCCATCTGCTTGCGTGCACAGCTGCTGTCCCCCGTGCTTGTGGCATCCTTCTCGCTCGACCGCTGCGCACCTGAAAGCCAGAATCGCATACCAAGCATGGAGCTTTCACGTCCAAAGTGTGCACCTGCTTCAAGCGTCTTGTTCGCTGGACGTCGCTTGCTACCTGCGTGTCCAGCATTGGACCCCATTACGGCACTGCTGGGGTGGGCACACACTCCACTCTCTGAGGCTAAACCTTCCACGCATGACCGTACTGACGTGGTTGGGCAGTACAGTCAGTAACGCAGTGGGCAAGGCACCTGCCAAGAAGCCTGCCAATACACTCGACAGGGAGCCCTTGCTTCTGAGGGCACCCATGTCCGTCTTTGGCAGCACCTGTCACGATGTTGGATCAACGGCCACCCAAAAAAAAGCAGTGGTTCCCTAGCCTCTGCGATTGCAAACCAAAGAACCATGTGCACCAGCACCATAGTGCAAGACTAAGAGCACAATAGAGCACAGCTGCCTTGTCTGGGCGAGCCGCTGGCACATGGTCCTCGAGCTTGCCGCTGCCCTGCACAGATTCACACTTTACAGGCCATCAAACGAATTCAGCTTAGGGTTTTAGGGCCTGCTGGAGCCACAGAACCGGCTGCAGTCGAAGATTGTCCAGCGAGGCCCGAAGGCATTGCTGGGCCTGAGAGGAGCATTGAATGAGCATGGACTCTGAAGTTCGCCAATAGCCACGGCGCTCGCGGCCTCCGACTGAAATCCTGTAAGGCTGCGACCAAGCACGGCGAGTCTGGATGAAAGTTAACAGGCTCTAACCTGCAGCCAGGCTGCAGTTCCTGACACAAGCACCCCGCCCGAGATTGCAAAAGACTTCAAGGTTCGGGCGCCATGAGGGACGAGACGAAGGCCAAATGCAACTCCTGAACAAAAGGCCACCAGAGGCCGTCCGAGCCCAGTCTTGACAGCTGTAGGAATCTTCCAGCACTGGCAGTGCCATCACTAATTTGTCTGTCTAGCCCTGAAACCTCGTCCCGCATGATGGCACAATCGCAGTAAAAGTGGCTCACCTTGGCCATGCATGCAGCCCGCGGCCTACAGCCCAAACCCCCCAACCTTCTAAGCAGCGTTCTCGAGGTTTTCACCGGGGCACAGCATCTGAAGGGGTTCTTGGGGCTCTTGGGGCTCTTGGGGCCTCACCAGGCCTCGCAGCAAATTTAGACAACGAGTCATTTACTTAAACTTCCATCTGTGAGATAAAACAAAGCTATTGAAATGGACGAACTTTCAACAAAAATTCACCTCTAGGATTGTGGCGTAGGGCTTTGGGGCAATCAAGTCTGGATTTGATCTGACTGTCGCTACGTACTTTGGCGGTGCGAGACTGGTGCCCACCTCATTTCCTCAACCGCTTTTTCCATACAAGCATAAAAGGGGGGATGTCAACAGCGAAACCTGGTATTGAAGGGGATCCTGCATATGTACAGTAGGACAGCAGCCACTCATGCAAGAGTCGCGACGCAACACACTTAATCAGACAGCAATTCAGTGAGGTCTGCAGGGAGTCCCTGATTATACTCAGTTGTCGCAGTTCGCGTTGAACGATTTGGTTTTATGTCATGCTTGGTGCGTCTTGCAGTTGGACGTGGTGCCTGAAGATTGGCCCCGAATCATTATTGCAGAGCGGATCTCTGTCCTGCTTGGCCAGCGTGTATAAAATGTATGAAAAAACGGTGGATGAGTGGCTCCATGCTCATGATCATACCACAGACATTGTAAGGTTTCTAGAAATTATAGTACATTGCCCGAACGTGCATACTGGTGCATAGCTTATCATGAAACTTGAGGGGCGGGGCCAGGGAACGAAAGCTAGCAGGTCCAGGCTAGAGGAGCTAGGGCAGCAAGAGGTCAGGGTCGGATGCAAGCATGCTTTGTTGAACCAGATGGACACAAAGCTGCGTGTCCAAAGTTTTTTGAGGAAAACGTACGATTGGGGCGGCAGGAAATCATGAGCACGCGCAGCTGCTCACCACCCACGGAAATAGAAACGAAAGCATCGCTACGCTAGCTTTCGTGATTATCTGTCAGAGCACCAGACGAAATCTGCTCAGTGCCGCACCCGCCGCTCATCTTCGAAGAGCTGCCGTGCCTGAAGTTGGAGCAAGACTTGTTTGGCCTGCGGCGGCTTACCATGCGGGTTACTTGAATCCGATTGTCCCCTTGTCACCGACGCAAATCGATGATATGGCTAGCTAAAAAGTTGTACGTCACTTGGCGCGACAGCCGAACTCACAAACAAGCCCTGCCAGACTGGGCTGCGAACAAAGCTGGCAACGGAATGGCTCACACAGAGGTGCGCCACAAACTCCAGGTCGTTGTTGAAAGTGCCTGCACATAAAGCTTGGCTCTCCAATGCTCTCCATAATGTGCCGGGCAGCTCAACCCTCCTTCAGGCCCCAAATGTAGTGTCGTGCTGGTGCACCCCGACCAAGGATAGCGCGCAGCTGTACAAACTATGCTTGCGGAATGTCCTGGGTCGCAATATGAAAGGTCAGTCCTGAAGCCCTGCAATTTGCTGTGAGGGTTGCCCTCCGAACCCGCTTTTTGAAGAATCCCCTTTGACCCATGGACCAACAAGCGGCAGGGCCCTACTTCTAGCGTTCCTACTCACCCACAGAACACCTGTAAACTCCGGCACGATCAGCAGGAACAGGAAGTCGTCGACCACTGGGTTCGCCCCGCGAAAGCGTCGGCAGCCCGCCAGGAGACAACTGCAAGTGAAATGCATGAGAACGGTGGGAGAAAATGGTTGGAGGCCTTCTTTCAGCAGTTATCTAGGGCTACTCTAGGATCCCTTTATCTCAAGCCAGGCATGGACAAACTTTCGCAACGGCTTTAGCTGTCGTGCAGCCCCGTGGTGGATTCAGGAACACAGGTCACCACCTCGGCAACGCCCGCAATCAACAGTGACAGGAAACGTTGTGTAACACAAGCAGCAACAAAAACAGCAGCAGTCGCCTTGCCTACGGATCAGCCTGAAGAGCTGCAGGCAGAGGCTGTGCGAGCAGTTGACGCAGCTGGCAGGGACGGAAATTTCGATCGCAGCTGGTCAGCTGTAGAATTTGGCAGCATAGAATCTGCATCGGCTAACTCAAGGGATAATGACGACTGCAGGTATCACGAATCATTCCGCATCTCTCTCTCACTCTCTCTCTCTGAATATTACCGCACCTCTGAATATTACCGCACCGCTTCTTCGGAAGAAGTGAGCTTCAAGGCCTGTTGCTTACTGTTGCCGTCAGGATCACTGTGCGCACCGCCTTCTGCAACTGCCTCCCGGAAGATGCGTGGCAGACAAGTGCATAGGCTATCCAGCAAACCCTATGACATGCTTCAGCCTTTCAAACTTTTAAGCTCTCTTCATCAATCGTCCTTCCTGCGGCCGAGGAAACATACGTGCGAATAGTTGGGGACCAAGTTTAGAGCCAGGCGGGAATTCCAAACTCGCTACCTTGCCCTGGTCTTTTAGGTCTTTTTTGTTCGCTCGTTCGCGGGCTTCGACCGCCGGCAAGCCCATCCCATGAACCCCATTCATGCTGAGCCCCCCCCCCCCCCCCCCCCCCCCCCCCCCCCCCCGGGCCCGCGTAGCACTGTCGCTCCCTTGCAGTAGCAGTGGGCTCAATGCGCCTCAGCAGATCAAACTCTGCAGCCCGCAGGGCCTCTTCTTGAGACACCTGGCAGGGCAGAAGCCCATCCACACTGTGGACAAATGCAAGAGCACAATCCTTCAACAAGAACCGATCTCAGACAGGACAGATCCCCAGGCAGCCCTCGAAGAACAACGGCATTCTGAAGCCCCTTGTCTACACAGTCTAACAGTGGGCGAAAGATGCACCGCTGCCATCCGGTGCCTTCTCGGACGAGGATGGCATGCCACGAGATCCTGGACAGCTTCACAAGCAAGGCTCCAGGCTCGGCAGAAGTCGGCAGAAGCCGCTGGACCATGCGTTCCGGGCGTTATTGCCTTAGCCTTAGACCCGACATTTTCGGCCAGCCGCGGCTAGCCGCAGCATGACGAACGAGAAAAAGGAGCCTGCCTGGAGTGTTGGTCACGTCCACCGAAGCCAGCAATGTAGCGCCATGGCCAAGCAAGACTCACGTCATTGAGTAAAACATGGGCACACGTCTGTTTGATGAAGACAGCATCTCGGGTATGTGCCCACATTGAAAGAACTTGCTCAGGTTTCGTTTAGCTGCTGGGCAATATGTAGGGTTCAAGTTCAAGGGAAGGTTGCCCAAACCGTGAAGGAACTTGGTGCGTGCACAAACTGCAGAATAAGCAAGCCTGTAGGCTTGAGCAGGCATCGAAGGCGGCACAACAGGTGCATGACAACATTGAGGACACTGAGGACACTGAGGACATTGAGGACATTGAGGACATTGAGGACATTGAGGACATGTTGGGCGTCTGCAGTCATGACTCATGACTGTCCTGCATTGCCTTGCTCTAGGCCTGGCAGAGCAGAATCAGAAGAGGGTCTCGTCACGTTTTTGTGGCCTCGTCTCGGTAGATGTACATGGTGGTGCCCTTAAGCACACACCACCTCGAGTCGAGCACAAGCACCCGACTTGCCAAAGCCCGTGGCATGACTGCAGTCCCAGGTTCCTCCATCTCCACCAGAAGCCCCAAAACCGTTGCTGCAACGGGCCAGAGATCATAACCTGGCAAAGCCGGAAGCTTGGGGGGGGGGAGAGCCAGAAGCTTGAAAAACGAGGAACGTAAGACCTGAGGTGCCGAGAAAGGCATTGTAGCATGTGTGATGCTCATGCTTGTGAAGAGAACCAACTCGTTCCCACAAGAAAACCCGGACCAGAGCCTCTGACCCCTCGGCACATCAAAGCCCTCAGATGCCCTCAGTGAACCTAAACATTCCCCAAATCTTTAAACTGCCTGGGTGTCAAGAGTTTCAAATCCACTTTCTTGCAAGGACTGACCTCCTCGTCATCTTCATCCTCGGAATCGACCAGGTCGACGGAAGGGCGGCCAACCCGTGCCACCTGCCACACGTAGTTCACGTTTAGGCACTAGGACTAGGACCGTTGAGACTTTGACTTTGAGGAGCAGGAACTCGTGTAGGGCTTCAAGTTGCTTAGTTGCTTCAGCTGGCTTGGGCTTCCTGGCAAGTCAACCTGCGAAAGGAGGGTGAGGCGGGGTGGAGCCGGGAGAATCCGGACAGGATATGCGCGGCGCAGGAGCATGCGTCTACTCTATACTTTAGAGGCCGCCAGGACCTGCTTGAGGACACAACCGCGCACCTTGAAGAGCACACCCCTAACTGGTGCAGGGTTCGTGGCTGAATGTGTCCGGAGCGCCTGTGCCATCTCGCTACCAGGCACGATATACCTGGCGGCCAGAACTGTTCAGAGTTCAGAGCTGTGTGGGGGTCAGTGCTACACTAAAGCCCGCTTGTGGCAGTAGAGCTAAGAGGCCTCAATGATATTGGCGGTTGTTGCGGGCTGGTGCCGAGTAGAGAAAGCTTGCTTGAACAAATCTACCAGGCCCTGCAGAAGTTCTCGTCGTGCAATTATGGAAGCTGCTCGGCCACAGAGTCCTCCAGTCTTCGTTCAATTAAGCATCTATGGAATAGTTCATGCTTGCTCGTAGGCTCAGCGATGTCCATTGGCATTAACGAATGTATCAAGGCGGATTATCAAAAGAATCAAGTCGGCGTCCAAACGATCAAAAACATTGATGCAACAGGTCACCTTCGCCGGCGAAACTCCTGGTTTGGAGATGGACCTTTCTCTGCAGCGTCGAAGGACTTTATCCCTCGCAGTGTCCATGTGTCCAGGCTCGTACATCTGAGGCCCTTGCCAGGTGGCTGCTTGATCTGCAAATCCTGCTCAGGGCTTCACGGGCTTAGGCGACTCGACGATTCTCTTCGGTCAATCGGGCTGTGAGCGCGGATTCTGATCGACAGGACAACCTCCAAAACGCAAGACACGGGGAGGGGGGGGGGGGCGCCAACCTACCTGCCAGATCTTGAGAGGTTGCGCCCCGCGGGCACTCAGAAAAACACCGCACCTTCGAAAACAATTCCCATGCCTGTCAGATGGGTCGCCTGTTCTGCTAGATTTACAGTAGCTTTAGCAAACACCTTTTGGTCTCAAGGCACAAATCGCGTCTGAGAGCACGCCCGTGACTATTCTTTGTTTTGCTTGCGGTTGTTCCTCTAGCAATCCGCCTACTGACAGCTGCACCGTCCTGTGACATCATCAAATACAACTCTTGCCCAAGCCCTCTATCATTGAAGTGCAGCAGGCCGCTTGCATCTGGCCGGCTTCATGCTCGGCAACAGCTTCGTGCGATGCGAACACTACCGAACGGAACCCTCCTCTAGGCCGCCTGACGCCTCATGGTACAAGACGTCAGCTCCCATTTTTTGTGACCCTTTTAAGTGCTGCATTTGGCTGGACAGCCCTGCTGCAGTCCTTCTGCGGATCGGCAATCTCTGGCTCAATCTCCTGCGGTGCAGACCCGGACCCGTGAAGTGTCTGTTCTCAAGGCGGCAGCAAACGTCAAATCCTAAGAGGGGCGAACACGAAGTGGGTCCTGGTACACACAACATCCCGCTGTCTAGCGTGGATTTCACCTTCGTGTTTCTCTCGTGGTGGCGCCATCCGTGGCAGGTTTCAGCCAGGTCCCGCGCGGAGAGCAAACTTACACTCCAAGGATCGTGCAAAAAGCCGTGTTGTCTGTACTTGCGCGCATGTCTTCACATGCAGACACACAACATGCTGTGGCCAGATCCTGTACTTTGGGAGTGTGCCAAAAGGTTGGAGCTCGCAGTCGGAAGAGGACTTTGCAAACCCGCGACGCTCAGGACAACACTATCCGCTTGCAGACTTTGTGGGCGCTGCTCTCCATGACTGAGTTTCGCAGGGTCCCGGCATGCTGCCGAGACTAGGCAAGAATCCACCATGGGATTCCTCCTTCCAGTTTACAAGCCTAAGCCGCAAGTTTGATGGTTTATGGTCTAGGGCTTAAACAGCTTTTAGGTTTTGCAAACTGTGTGCGCACCGCTTGTCGAACTACTTTAATTGGAACAGCAGGAGGCGCGGATGGTTCTCTGAACTTGGATCCTGTACCACAGCCAGCATTGTGGAGCGGTCAATCGCGCAAGCAGCACGCAAGGGAGGCATTTTCGAAGGCAGCGCCCACGTTTGCAGAAGAGCTCGCGTGCTTCGCGCCACCTTGTCTGCTGAGAAAAGGAAGACGTCGTCTGCCTCAGCGTTCGGAAGGATGTCGAAGCCAACGAGGCCTGGGAGGGGAGGAGCCACTGACTTTCGGCTGGGAATATGCAGAATTCTGTCGTTCTTTCGGACATAGAAGCCCTCGTTTGCGAACGCAACGCCAGACACACCCGACAGACCCGTGAGGGGAATAAGGGCCTCATCGGGCTCGGGGTGGCAGCTGTAGATCCTGCTGCTCTTTCCCAGAACTACCGGCCAGCAGCCTGATTCAGAACACCGAACAGTGATGTCCCGCACACTCTCATCCACAGGCAGGTCGGGACAATCGACACTCTCCACTGCACCGCCATCTGCACCACTTGCGATCTGAAACACTCCATCTTCACTGGCAAGCCAGACACGACCATCCTGCGAGCAGCTCATGGCATGGGCACTGAAGAAGGCATCGGACGACCAGGTCAAGTTCACCTCGGCGGCATCGACCTCCGAATCCCTGCTGGCCGGAGCCATGGGCACAGACTGCCAGGCACCCACGGCCAGCCAAGACCAGGGCAGGATAGCCACAATGTAGCTCTTCAGGAGGAGCCTCTTCATGAACACGGCGGTCTGGATGGCTTTCTTTTCACTCTCGAAGAGGAGCTGTCGAAGCATAGGCTCCGGAGAGTCCCGCGCCTCAAGCCCAGGATCACCCTCGACCTTGTTGCCGCCAAACCCCTTCCCTCGCAATCGCTTCAACTTCTCTGGGTGCGGCGGTGGCAAGCCACGGCGCTGCGGCAAGCTTCGCAATGACAGGAAAAGAAAGGCTGCTAAGTAGACGGGCAGGGCTCCGTGCAATGCGTAGCCCAGGAGCAGCACGGCACCGTTAGCGCAAAGGACACCGGTCATCACCATAGCGGGCCCCAGCATCATAAGAAGCCTGAGGACCCAGTGCTTCATCTTGCCTGAACAGAAACGTTCTTCTCCTCTGTCATGCTGGCCCTCCAATTCAAGCTCCGCCTTCGATGTCAAGAGCCGAGACAGTTGACCCGCAAATGCAAAGCCAGCAATCGTCATGGTAATATGCATGCCCACTCTGTCCCAGACTGATCGACCCATGTCGAAGCCGAATAGGTAATAAGAAAAGCTTTGGCACAGCGCGGACACGCCCAGTACCATCGTGTCGTGGCTTGCCAACGAGCATGGTTCCCAAAGCAAGCTGTACTTCCCGATGATCTCGTTAAAGTTCATCTCCTGCTGTGCGATCTCTTTACCCCTCTCCTCATCGCTGTCGGCAGTGGTAGTGCCGATGTTGCCTTGCCGGAAGTGGGTGTTGTCACCTTTCGGGAGGTACTCGACCTGCGTCGGTTCGTTGAAGTCGTGCATCATGCCATCGAAGTGCTCATAAAAATCATCTTTCCCCGAGGCATGCTCGGCCCGCCCTGCTTTTGACTTTTGCTCCGCCAGACGACGCGGCTCCATCACAAAAGGGACGCGCAATGCCTCGCCCTTGCCTTCCCACTGGAGAAGCTTCGTGATGTAGTCAGTGTTGTAAGCGTCGTGAACATCTGGCACAAACTTCAGGAGAAACTTGCGACTTTCAGCATAAGCGCTTTCTACCCCAATAAAGCAGAAGAGTATGGAGCAACCAAAGTACAACATGCTTGTGATTAAGGAACTATAATATGCAAATGCCAATGAATCCGGGGCCTCACTATCCAGCTGACCCTCGCAAAGAAATCCTGTTGAGACTCCGAAGAGTAGAGTGTTGAGCACTCCAGTATTCTGTAGCTTCCCAACAAAGATCGTCAGAAAGTCTCGCATCTCTTCTCGAACAGATGCAATCCAGGCGATATGATAGTTTTTCTCTTGGTACATCTGACTCTGCTGCATTGCCAAGGAATCTGCAAATGTGTCGCGATTGTATGACAGGCCCGAGATGACAACAGCCAAAGCATTGAGCATATTGCCATAGCTGTACCACGCCATGGGGCACAGAACTTAGGAGGCTTCGAGTCCGAAATGGCTGCATTTTCATCCTTCACGAGACATGCTCTCGAATCCGCGCATTTCAGGGTGCCCTGCGCCCCTCCTTTAAAGGTACCGAGCCTGCTGCACACCATAAACCCTTCAGATCAGCTGATACCTGCAGCGAGTCGCCATTCTGCAACGGGAGTCCTCCTCTTCTTCCAAGAGATGACATCCATCTCTGGGTACCTCAATGCATGAACCAGGGTTTGCCAATCCAGTACAAAGAACAGGCACTCCCATGCCTTTCCGGAACAGGGCCGATGGGGTCATGTTCAGGGGCTGTGATTCCCGTCACGATTTGTCGCCAGCCTCTTCTGGATGTCGCGATGCCGACCCCGATCTAGAGCGGCTGGCCTGTTTTGCTCCAAACGCTTTACAGAAATACGGGACACTGCGCCATTTGCGATCTCAGATATTCATGGATCAGCCTCGTAACGCGCGGTGTCGCGTGTGAGCGGGGTCCCGGTGGCTGTGCTTCCTGAGCAAAGGCACTATCCAGTCAACGCCAACACACACACTCTCTTCCCGGACACATGTTTGGGCCGAGTAACACTATGAGTCTACACGACACCTGTTCAACAACGAGCACTAGAAGAGCTTGCATTTATAGGGGCATCTCATCACTCATTCGCTTCTTCGATTAAAAGCGAAGCAATTTAAGAGGAATGATAGGCGAACGAATGCAGTTAGTGACGCAACGCCTGAAAGTAAAAAGTCAGCAAAACCCAGGTGGATCTGTGCTGGCCATGCGAGCCTTTGTCTACGGGGCTTTATGATCCAGAATCTGCCCTCCACCGCCAAGCAGGAAACCAAAGGTTTCGATTCACCAGTGCTCCCAAAAGGTGGCCCTCTCACATGCTAAGCCCCGCGCCCAAGCTCAGCTGGTTCAAGAATTCCTCCGATCTTTTTACTTCATCCTGACCGAAACTTGTGTGTGTGTGTGTTTGTTGAACTTGCTTTTTTGTGCCGCTTGCTTCTGACTTGTGGCTTCCAGGCTTCCTGAGGAAGCAATAAAGTTGCAAACCTGAACTGTCCACAACTCGACCATAGATGCACTTTGCAGCCCTGCGCCGCCTCCGCGCCATGCTTGGAGGCGGGGAGGGGAGGCATACAGCCCGAAAGGCCTGCGAGGCAGGATCGGTAGCTCATGAAGCGTTCATCCCGTACAGGCCCCGACACCCCATCTGTCCCCTTTGAGCAGATCTACTCACAGGCTCACAAGACCGAATTCCACAGGAGGCACTTGCGATGCAAACACGTTGTAGGCTCCTGGCAATTCACGCCAGTCACCAAAACTAGTCAAATAGTCACTGTCATCTAAGATCACGCTTGAGCCACACCGCGAAGGCAACAGGCTCATGTCCATGCCACACATATCCTGAAGCTGAGACTAAAGGTTGTGAACACTCCTTGAGAAGCATGCCGTCTACAGGTGGCAATCTGCAATTGTGAAGGGCTGCATCGGGAATTGCAATCATGGTGTTCGTCCCAAGGGGCCATATTTTCGCTACCACATCTGTGCCAGCATCTTCCTAGATTCTTGCCTACAAGTCGACACAGAAACTTTGAAACCCATAAATACCCCCCGCCCTTCCTCTTGCATTGAACATGTCCCGGGTTGGTGGCACTCCGACACCATTACACCATGAAACCATTCAACCAATAGGTTTTTTTATGAAGGGATAGGTGGCCACCAGACCATTAAACCATGCAAACCCTTACACCACTAAACCGATAGGTTTTTCCCATCGTTCGGGTCATGTCCATGGGCCCCGCCTGAACGATTCCATAGGCCCAAGCCTATCGGTTGAATGGTTAGGTGGTGTATTCAAGGAGGCACCTGAACGTTCCGAAACCTGCTGACTTACTGGCCTGATGGTTTAGGTGCACTAAGGTGCCTCGTTTCCGATCTCTTTCATGTGTATGTATACATATACATACATATACACATATACAGATGTTGTGCCTCGGCGACCATCAAAAAGTAGTGCTTGTTACTTCCAGGTTGTGATGAATACCTCCATGTACGCGCACGTCTCGATGTGCATTTCAAAACATTGCTCGGGACATTAGATGTGTGTGGATGGCTGCTAGACTAGGTTGTGTAGTTCGTCAACGGCGCCAGAAGCCATGTCATTGCGAGTGCAGGTGTTCTGGCTCCGCGATCCCTTCTGCCATCCTGGTGACATTCATGAAGCAGAAAGATGTTAGTTGAGGTCGGCTCAATTAAGAGCCGGACATCTTCACTTTTCAAACTGACGCACGAAGGGACTCGCTTTTGCTGTGCTTCATGGAACTCCTTGGATTTATGTCACACGTAGGGACTAAAGGCAAATTACCATCCCAACAGCATTCTAAGGGACACATGGTCTCGTTGCGTATTAAGTGCATTTAGCATTCATGTTCCAAGTTTCATGCTGTAAGAACAGAAGCCGTTCCGCGATTATGAAAAGGTTCCTGTTTACAAATTGCGATATCACCCTGTTAACGTTTACTTTTGTCAGGATGCGTTGTAACTGTGCTCAAATTACTATCCATTAGCAGCCTCTAATTGCCATTTGAACCAGGGTCGGTTTCGGGGTTCGATTTCTATCCTTCTCAAACAAAGGGCTTCCGATTGAGTTTAATCAGGGCCCATTAGTTGCAAACCAAACTAGATGCATTGAATTCAATTGGCATCCCATTTTTGGCCATGTCACAACGCAAAAGTCAAAACTTGATTCATGACCCAATCGTGCTGGCTTTTGTCCACCAGACCCTAGACAGTCACCTCCCCCCCCCTTCGCCCCCCCGATGGAAACTGTGCTAGTTCTGGCCATTTGATGGCTCCCCTTTTTGCCATCGCGTAGTTGGATCTGACAGAGACCCAGACGGCTTCCCGCCGATGAGCGTTTGGTTCATATATATATATATACATATATATATACATATATACATGTGTTCCTCTTTTTTGGTTCTTTCTTTCTTTTTTTAATAGTTACAGCTGCAGTACCTAATGTATTTCATACTTACATGCACCCCCACACACCAGACAAAAACGTAACAACAAGTATTGGAGAGTGAATAGGGTTAATATCAGGATGCACAAACAGTAGGGTGTGATCAGCCCCAACTGATTTGCTCTCCACTGAACTTTACTCTCGCCCAGAGTCCTGTTGCGTGGGGGTGGGGGGGGGGGGGGGACGCGCTCCTTTTTTTCCAAGCAGCCATTGTTGAGACTGCAACAATGACTACCAGCTCTCACACTCTGCTGCCTTGAGCAGGTATCTCGCCTGCACTTCTTGCAAGGGCCGTCGATCTGACCACCACGATGCGCATGACATAACACCGAATGTTGCTTAGCACTGGCTTAGGTGTATCTTGTCTGCTCGTCTAGAGTCAGGAACTGAATCAGCTGGCATCAAGCATCGCCGCCTCGGGAACTGAAGGATCACAGCGCATTGCTGCGCTGGCGTCCTCGAAGCCATGCTGAGAACATGATTGTGAAGGTTTTAGTGACAATTGGTCTGGACAATTGGTCCTTGTCTGTCTCTATCCGCCGCATTTGCTCTGTCAGTCTCACTCCATGCTTCTGCCTCTGCGTCTGCTCTACCACGCTGCACCCCGGGTGCCGCTTGATCCTGTCCTCCTTGGCCTGCTCCCACAACTCCAATTCCAGGTAAGCTTGCGCACGAGAAACATGCAGGTGCGCACCTTGCACGAAGGCGTCGACATGCGTCGACATTCTGTCCAGTTTAACGCAAGGGGGGCCCGGGTCAGCGCGCCTTAAATTCTTGTAATCATTGCAGTTCTGAGACGCCGCACGCAAAAACCCGAGTCCGGGAAAGTCATTGGCAGGCAGCGGCTGGAGACCCGTCACGGCCTTTTCAGGCAAAAAGCAAGCAACCGGTTACCTCAGACTACCTCCTGGCTTCATGAAAAAACGACCCCTACGTGCCTTGGAAGCATGGTCCAGGACTGTCTTTGGGGCATAGCCACGCGCTACCTCAGAATCACACAGCAAACACAAATGACAAACAACATCCACCACATTCTTCACAGTGGTCAACGAGCCTTACTACACTCCAGAATTGCAACAGACACAGAATGTGCATGAGTGAGTGAGAGGATGAACCAGAAGAAGAAGGACTCCTTCATCTTTGACTTGGCACGTAGGAACGTCCCGACTCCCTTACACGGAACCGGGCGACAAACCCTCAAGGGCCCGGCCTACACAGGAACTGAAACGAGTTGACGTTTCCCCACATTTCCGAGCGGCTTCCGCTGCTTTCCGTCCCGCAGGGCTTGGCAAAGCCGACTGCCGAGCCCGGCCCGAGCATACCCTTCAACGAACTACGAAGCAAAAGACCTGGCCAAGCTGCTCAGCAGGAAATACCTTTCTCGTGTGAGGCGACAGGAGAAATGGAAGTCGGAGGTACAACTGGTAAGCGAAAGACGGTGGCCTTCCGGAGAAGAAGCATTGGATCCAACAGATATCCAGATTGAGAACATGACGCGGATTCCCGATGGGCTGTCCACATTGCTGGTCGGTTTCTCGCTGCTTGATCTGGCTCTGTCATCGCCAAGGACAGAAGAAGCGTTGTGCCTAGAAATGTCTGCTTCTCATCCCAGCTGTGATTGTACAGTTAATCATGACCGTCATTCAGCAGGCAATGCTAAATAGTCAAAGATTCTAGTTCCCGTTTGAGGGAACAGTTGGCTTAGAGTAAGGGCGAAAGGGGAAAGTGGGCGTGAGCCCGAGAGTGAGAGTGAGAGTGAGTGTACGTGTAAGCGCACGTGCATCTTAACACCAGCAACGCATGCTGGGGATGCAAGTGGCACGCAAGATCTGATCAGTGCACCTGAGTCGTGCTGGGAATCGCGCTTGTGTTGAATTGTTTATTAAGCAGATTGATCTCTTGTCTCAACTTTTGCAAATCATCCCTCAGCTCCATCACGCAAGACAGAATCATTGACATAACAAAAGATGAACGCATTGCGCATACTCCAGTTTGATGGAACAGCGGCGTGTGTGTGTGTGTGTGTGTGCGCGCATGCACAACATTGCACCACCAAGCATGCCCGTAGGTTGATTGAGAGCTCAGACAGAGAGAGAGAGAGAGAGAGAGAAAGAAAGAAAGAAAGAAAGAAAGAAAGAAAGAAAGAAAGAAAGAAAGAAAGAAAGAAAGAAAGAAGAGAGAGAGAGAGACCTACATAAATATTGGAGAAAAAGTCGGCGACACAAGTATAGGAGCAGATAGTTGCATACATGTCAATACGCCCTGAAGGGCACCGCTACAGACCAGGCTGTGCCAAGTCCTGGTAAATACTCCTGAAAAAATCAAGAGAAGTGGGAGCGTGCCCCGGCAACATGTTCAAACCTAAGGGAACGTTGTGTCAGCCCTCTCCGAGGGTCGCGCCCTGTCCCTGCACTGGATGGCAAGTTCTGCCGCTGCTCCAAGCACCTGGACTTGGAAACTCACAAGGCTGACAACGGTTGCGGGCTCTTGAGACACTCTGCCCTGGTTCCATGGCGCTTTACGCGGTCTACACAGGTGTTGCTGTCAAGTCCCACCTCGATGTGGTCAACGACCAAGGCTCCAGTCACCTGTCGGGTTCGGGCAGTGCTGTCGTCAGAAGCTGCTGTGACTGCAACATATCGCAACAGACATGTAAAACGCGGCTCCATGTGCCAGTGCGCCATGGTGGTGTTAGCAGAAGTGGCGGGAGGGTTGGCGAGACAACAAGACTACATGACTACATGTCGGGCTGGTCTCAAGCCTGCTTCTCAAACTTGTGGAGAATGTCCGGCGCGCCGCCACTGACTATTTCTTCATGCAACCTGAAGATGCAGCAAGATGGCACTGAGAAGCCGAGTTTGGGCTCGTGCTTCCGGGTGACCAGAACATCTCGACCAGAAAAAACTGCATGAGAGTATACTGTACAGTAGACTAATCACCAAGCCCAGTAGCTTTGAGAACTTCTTCGTATCTTCCACCACTCTGGGATAGTTCTGCTGGGCAAGGCTTGACCTTCCCAGGATCAAAGATCAGTTGACCGCGCAGTCTTGCAGTTCACGGACATCCCACATCGTCCAAACACACGTCGCTTCGACTTGCTTGCGAAACTGTGCACGTGATCAGCCGGACTTACAGCCTTCTTCGCTCGCCTTTGCCCCCATACTTTCCTCTTTCGCCCTTACCACCCCAATTCCCCAATCCCTCTTCTTCGGTGCCTGATTCGCTGCACCTGGCCCAGGCACAGCATCTCAAGTTCACCGGGTTTGGCCGCTGCTGCCTCCGCGAGACCGGAACAAAAAACATGGCACGTAAAGGAAGGCATTGCAACTAATTACAACTGTTATCCACTTACAATTATAATATGTTAGTGCAATGAGCCGAGGCCGCGGGCCCGCATGAGTTTTGGGGAGCATTCTTTCGCTCACTCATGAACACATCCGACTAACAGGGGCGGAGACCTTACGAATGCGAGGCACCGAAGAACTCGCCCGTTAGCCTCTTTCACTAGGACCACTAGGAGTGAACCTGTTGTGAAGGTAAGTAACAGCCAGAATGGGAGAATGTGCCAGGCCACCTCTATTAACAGGACTTTTCACCCAAGAATCCGCAGCCTGATCCTCCTCCCGTGGGCTGGCGCCGCTGCACCACCCGTTTATTTCTTGAAACGGGCACCCCCCCCCACATCCGGGAGTGGACCAAAATTGGGGGGTTTTCTGCCCCCTTCAAATTGCAGGTTGACCCCCCCCTCCCCCTACACCCCCCTTCCCCCCCTGCTAACATTGCTTACCCCCAGTAACCATGAACAAAGGCGGGGATTGCAACAAGCAGATGCGGAACTTCGCCTTAACACTCCCGGAAGCGCCATTCCCTCGGGAGAGGGGAGTGTTGTGAGGCGCAGTTTTTGGCTTAATGTATGTGAAGCGATTAAGGTTTATGAGTCAGGTTCGGGCATATCTGAAAACCTGAAGCGAAGAAGGCTTCGGGGTAAGGTCACATGTTAACCAGCCAATCACATGCAAAGCCTGACAAGGCAGCTTCTGAGGGGGGACCCTAAACCCCTAACCCCAACCCCCGAACCACACCACAGCGAGGCGGGACCACACCACAGACCGTGGAACCATGGCACGGGGTGCCATAGAGGCTCCGTGTCGCCCTGTCAATGGTATCCCCCCCCCACACCCCCCACACCCACCTAAGGCAACGCCTAAACCCTATACCCTCAACCCTAAAACCGTAAGCCCGAATCCCAAAACCCTAAAACCCTAAACCGTAAACTTGCAACCCTATCACAAACGCTTATAAACCCTTAAAACCCTTCAGAACCCCACGCAAAAACCACAAAACCCCAGCCCTACACCCTTGGAGCCCAAAACTTAAACCACCCCCCTAATTATTTTTTTAATTTGCGCCCCACCCCCTTCCGATGAGGGGGATGCCTTACCTTGTAGGGGGGAGGGGGGGGTAAGATGGACACTTAGAGGCTATGCTGCACGTGCGTGGCTTGTAAACAAGTACTTTAGAGAGGAAATGCCCGCAGAATAGACGCAACGCATCCGCAGCATAGACGCAATGCACCCTGAGCATGGCGCGGAGGGTGCAGAGGGTGCGGAGGGTGCGGAGGGCGCGGAGGGCGCGGAGGGCGCGGAGGGCGCGGAGGGCGCGGAGGGCGCGGAGGGCGCGGAGGGCGCAGAGGGCGCGGAGGGCGCGCCCCCACCTTGTCCTCGCCCTCTCGCGTCCGTCAACCGCACATCCATGCCATCCATGCAAGGTCCACGCCTCCCCGCCCCTCTCCCAGCAACATGTTCCGACCCCCCCTCCCTTGACCATGTCGTCTCCTTGTCGTCTCCGTGGCCTCCGTCAAAATTCATTCCGTCCGACCCTCCTCCGTTGACCGTCTCCTCTTCGTGGCCTCTTTCGTCAGACAGCGATCCGATAGCACGACTTCCGCGTTGAAGCGCCAAACGAGAACCCAATCCCAATGCAAGAACACAAAGAGCACGCGCAGAATAGACGTTAAGCGTCCAAGGCACGGAGGGGGGGGAGGGGTGGGGGACGGGGTTTAAGATACAAGCCTTGAATCTTTAAGTCCAAGTGGGGTCACAGTATTTGTATTTCACTATCCAGAGGGCGAGAGTTTAGGGTTTAAGATGTCTAGAGGGTGAGGGTTTAAGATTTACAAAGCCAGAGGGTGAGAGTTTGAGATGCCCCCAAGTTTTACTCTTGATTCTTTAAACCGACGTGGTCTAGGCATCCTTTTATTCGCCTCGGCTTCCAGCCGAGAAGCTTCCCCGCTTCTCACCAACCCAAGACTTTCTGTACACCCAAGCCCCCTCAAAAACTGGTTTTTGTCAGACTTTCTGCACTCTGGCACCTGTTCTGGGACCCCCTGAGACGCCTGGACCTTAAAGAATTACAGAACTATCGCAAACATGGCAACATCACAGCCTTGACACATCTTAAAAAATGGACTGTTGCGAGGCTCTAAACGAATGCAACAACTTTACTTCGTATAGAACACGATAAACCAACCCCAAAACTCCGACAATTGTCTGTCCTTTGGACGGCTTCCTCAGCACGCTGAAGCTTACGATATTTCATCGAGAGGCTGCGCAGTTGTTGCTTACACAGCTTTGAAGGCGGGGAAACACAAAAACGTCGGCGTTATCCAAAGTCGGTGTTATCCCCCACTCACCCCCATCCTCTTCGGCAATCGCGACTCCCGCCGAGACAGGTCGCGCAGCGTTGGAAATACGTGTCTAATCGTGTCTATATACTTCTGTGCTTGTAGAACTGTAGAACTACAAGAAGTTGCAGCCCTGGCCCGCTGGCCTGGAAATCAAGGCGGCCGCCTCTGCCTTCGCTCAACCGCTCCTCCATGCCGCCTCGGGGGCTGCTATCGCTCCCGGCACTGCACATACGGCTGTGCAGATCATGGGCCGCCATCCTAAAATCAATTCTCTGCTACACCGAGTCAAGGTGCGGCTGCATTGCTCAGCGCGCTCAAAGGACCCAGATGCATCCCCTTGTCGAAGGAGAGCCTGTCAGTCCAAAGCCAATCGGAGGAACTGCAGCTGCTGCTGCTGCTGTGCACCAGTTGCTTCTGCATCTGCTGTCACTGCCTGGACCAACATGGTTCCTTTGGGAAGATGCTCGGGTAGCATACACATGAACGTCATTTCTGGGCCCAAAGGGGTCCTATGGATGGGAGCATCATGATCTGGTCGTATGGACGGAATCATCTGATCTGGATTCTCTGGCACATGGATGCTGTGTATTGGCATGAGTATCTCGGCCTGTCACATGGTTGCTCTGCTGGCATTGTGGCAACATCAGAGATGGTCTGGTACCACAGATGCTCTGGTAGCACAATTCTGCCTCGGAGTCGCTCAAGAGTTGAAGGTTAATATCCTGCAGGCTGCAATCAAAAGTGAGAAGTTCATGTCGTCTGGTGTCTACATTGCATTGAAACCTATGGCGTCTCCAGTGTCCTCTACGGAGGAGTACGTCCAGTTTCCAAACCTGCGGTGCAAGCATTTTTCACCATGGTGCTTCAGCCACCGACAACCAGGAAAAACTTTTTGAATCGAAGCGCAACGTCTCGCCGTCCTACAACACAAGCTGACGCTGCTCCAGCTCGCACGCATGTTGCTTCTTGCGCCTCTCATCCCGGGAGTCGTCGCAGCACCAGCCATCCTTCTTCAAAATCCGCACAAAAACACATCCATTAGATCCCAGACTGTCATTTTAGCCCCAGCGCAGCTGTGTCACACGCCCTGCCCCAAGAGAATTCGGGAACATGCAAAGAAACCTCACCGTCAAAAAAATTGCTGAAGACCCATCCCCAGCTGCCTGTCCAAGTGAGAAGACAGAGTCTTAAAGTCAAACGCGGCCTGGCCGACTAGGGTGCTCGTCTGGCCACACGTTTGGGCCTGACGAAATGGACGTAAAGGCCGCAAAGGCTCTTGCTTCAGTGGTCTGTGCTCCATGCTCTCAATTGCTCTCACAACTGCATAGCCAAGCTCAGAGGATGCGGCAACAGAAGGGGGCCCGCATATGACGCAGGCGGCGCTGTCCCGGCCCTCACAGAGCCAGCACACGCTGCCGGTGCCTGTATGAATGCCCAAGCACTCTGAAACATCATCACCTCAGCGACGGGTAGCAAAGGAAGAAGTGCACTCGAGCCTGCCGTGCAAGCATCATCCATTGAGCACAGTCAGAGCGTGTTTGGTTTGTTCTACACCGCTGCATGCCTGCTGTTCTGATGCTTGGACTCTCTCATTGCGCAACCGCGGAGTTGCCTGCATGGGTTTAAAGGTAGGCTGTGGTCTGATTGGGCGTTAGGATTCCATGATCTGAGCCGACCGAGTTCAGTTGACAGCAAGTCGTGGGGCAACTTCCTCTTCTACTGTCTTCATGCGACTGGGGCGAGCAGGTGCTATACAGGCCAGTGTGTCGGGCTTTCTCGGGCGACCTGCTTCTGGCACTCGCCACCAATCCTCTGAACAACCCTCCCCGCGCACTCCCGACGGTACCAGACCGCAAAACCCTCAGAGCAGGTGTAAATTCGGGGTCGGTATGTTCCGGCAAGCAAACTGCCGACTGCCAACCAATTCAACTGATGAAGGGTTGGCAGGTTGGCAAGCCCTCGTTTTCTAGCGCACGCTTGAAAAGCGTGGAGGATTTCCATGAAGTCCTGACCAAGGCCCGCCAAGCAGAAGGCATCTTTGACCTGCAGCCTGTTGGCGGGCAAGGCTCATCGCCCTGAGCGTCATGGTGCCTTAGCCGCCTCGTTCCCAAAGATCATTGACGAGGTCTTCGGCTCGTTCAACCACGTCTTCACGTAGACCTCCTCAACCCAGCTGTGCAGGACTTCATCCGCTCTCATCTCTTCAAGAACCCGTAGGCCATTCAGTAGGACCTGTTACCAGCTTTGTACGTTTGAGGAATGGGACAACATGGACTTATCTGAGCATGCCGGACATGCCACATGCAAAAAGGCGCTCACATCATCTCACATCTTGGAGCTCTGGCCTTGAGGGTTGTCCTCAGGGTACTTTTCCCACCGACATCATCGGCAATCCTGCTGTCGAAACGATCCTGAATTGTTGCCCACTCCTTGGTGCTGCACATCTTCAGGCAGTTCGGGATGGAGGCCACCATGTACTGCATGTTCTCCAAGGCCGTGAGCACCAACCCAGTTTTCAGGATCTTTTCGTCTAGGAGGGGTCCGCCCAAAGAATGATACGTCTCGACGAAGAGCTTCAAGTACTCCTGCGAAGTGCTTGCGGCCAGATTCTAGATACTGCTAGCACCAGCAACCAACTTTGACATCATTTGAGAAAGTGGTACGAGATAGCGTTTCCGAGTCGAGTCATTGTACAAGCATCCTCGCCCAAATTTCTAAGTGAGGTGAACAATATTCTGGTTTCCGAAATTGGGGTACCTTATTGGGTCCTTTTTCTCGTAGGGAATCCTACCACTTGCGGTTTATCTTAGGGGTCCCCCCTATTTTCAAAAAAAAATAAACGCACATATGACTGACGCACTTCGCTCGACCAAGATTGTTCAGTGTGAAACCCATATTCTACATGCCAGCGACAGTCTAGCCAAGAGAGGCCGAACACTGTGCCCATGTAGGCCCAGGCTGGGGAGCAGGAGGAGGATCCCAGACATTGTGCCCATGTGCCCGCTTCGAACCGGAAATTGGCCGTGTGGAACCTCCTTAACGCCCTTAGGCCTCCAAGCTCTCGGTCATCAGGTCAAACTCAGCACAGTTGAAACCCCACCAAATCCGGTGGTGCAGTGGGTTGGCGCCGAAACCTGGAGTGCTGAACTAAGATACTGGTACCCCAAACCCCCAAAACCCTGACTCCCAAAAAAGAACTGCCTTTCAGTAGCTGGATTGGTTTCCAAGTCCCTGGTCACGCGCTCGGTGTGCACACACACACACACTCACAGACACGCACACACACCCGCGCACGCGCGCACGCATGCACGCACGCACTCGCTCGCGCGCACACGCGCGCACGCGCGTAAGCGCGCACGCACCCTCGCACGCCCGCACCCTCGCACGCCCCCACTCGCTCGCCCCCACTCGCTCGCCCCCCCCCCCCCCCCCCCCCATTCTGGGGACTCAGGCGCTCCTGCCCGGCCTGCGGTTGTGCTGCGACGGGGGGTGCACTGGGGATGAAGCAAAGGCAAACAAAGGGAAATGGTCCGAACTACGCTACTGCGTCCTGCATTGCTTCTGGAGTGCATGTTTCTTTGTGCGCGTGCAAGCTTGTACATAGACGCGATTTCTAACGGACGCAGACAACAAAACTCCCCCAACAGCCACAGTCCCTTTGTATCCAACTGTGAGACCTCCGAGATCGAAAATGCCACAGTCCAGAACATCCTTGTCATCTCGCCAGAAATACGCATTGTCAACGTTCAGGTTTTGATGGCCGAGTGCCACGTAATCTATGTCCTGGAGCTTCCAGTACATTAACTCCTTTTGGTACGCGTTGGCCAACATCATGGTGTTGAAAAACTTCTCTTGAAAGGCCTGGGTTGTGACATAGTCAGGATAAAGAACCTTGGCCGTCTCTGAAAAAAACTTGGTCGCCACTCGAAGCTGGCCAGCAACCACCTGGGGTGGGGCCCCAGAGGCACTGTCAGGCTGTATAGGGTGCCATGCGATGTTGTTGAACATCAGGTTCTGCTGCAAAAAGTCCTCGGTGCCCATCTTCCCCGTCTTATGAGCTGCCGCGATTCGGGCGTGCACCTGCATCAGTAGTCTGTAGTGATCCTTGTCAGTTCCTTCCATCTCATAGTCCTTGCACTTCACGTAAGGCCCCTCAATTTCAAACGGCTTCAGCGGGGGCATGCCAGTGAACGGTACTCGCTCAGTGATGAGGATAAAATTTGAAGACTCGTTGCTGATATCTCCGAAGTAGAATTTGGGAGTCTTGACAGGCATGGATGCTTCCAGCAGACGATAAGCATTGATCTCGTAAAAATCCATGGGCTGCTTGTTCACTGAACTGCTCAGGCGATCGTTGCTCGTGGCACCGGACAGTGGAAACGGGATCTTTGCAAACAGCTTAGTGTGGAGGTCCGGCGTCTGCCACTTGTACCTGCAGAGTCTTGTCAGGGGCAGGGTGACGTTGTGTTTCACTTTGTCCAAACGAACGAGTTTCCTGCAGGAGATTTTGCAAAATCAACAACTAGTCAACCGCCATCAGTTCCGCTACTGTTGCAGAAACGGAGAAGCAGTTGGCTGCTGGCCATACCCTTTTAGGAGCAAGAGTGCATTTGCAAGGCAATCTGAGTGGCGCGCCTGACCTCGAAGAAAAACCTGCGATGAAGGTGTATCAGGCGTAAGCGGCAGAACACGAACCTGTAGCTAGAGCAAACGGTGCTTTCATGAAAACATCCTAGGATTCCCAGTGACAAGGAGCTTGCCAGCATTGTTTCCGGCTGTGACCTGCAATCGAACTCAGCCCATTGGATCTTCCACAAGATTTACACCCTGATGCACTGAAGACAGTGAGCAGTGCGGCAACCACTTTGCACTGCACTGCACCTGTACAAAATACGCACAAACCACGCAAAGCACCTGCACAGCACGATCCACAGAACCCGTACAGCACCCCGCACAGCACCCCGCACAGCACCCCGCACAGCACCCCGCACAGCACCCCGCACAGCACCCGCACAGCACCGCGCACGGCACCCGCACGGCACCCGCACGGCCGCACGGCACCCACACGGCACCTGCACGGCACCCGCTATTGCAGAGTCAGAACCGCACCTGAACCGAGCAAACAAGCCCGCAAACAAGTGCCACCCGATCAAACTGCCGACAACACGACCCCCTGTCAAAGGCCGCAAGCATGTTTGGACCATAAGGGAGATAAGGAGTGTCAATCTATGGGGAGTTGCAGTCGCAGGCCGTGCTCCCTGCGCCTTGACCTTCTTCTCCAGAATCAGCTCAACCACGGCATTGCCCTCCTGCAAAGTTCCAGCTGCATGAAAGGCCTCCCGGATGCTCTCTCCACAACACGTGCACACGACCCAACCACAACACCCCTGTTTGCAGCTGCCTTCAACCGCCGGCTGCACTACTGCGCTCGCGCCTTGGTCAACCATTGGGGCCCCATCTTCTCCAGGGTCTCCTCAGACCTGTGCACTGGTTTGTCTAATGATGCTCTCTCTGTGTTGCAGGAGCAGAATCTTGCCAGCGCGAAGTCTTATCAGATGTCTCAGTGCTGTGCCAGGGAAACTCCAAGTGGTAGATCATGCCCTTGCACATCTTTTCATGGTTGCGCTGGACCTCCATTCACATCGGAGCAAGTCACAAACACGACATGGAGGCCAGAGCAGTCCACCAAATTTTTCGTTTCCCCCTCATGAACCATCATTGGCTTTTGGCACTTCATGGATGGGTGTGTGTGTGTGTGCCTTTTCACCTAGTTACCTAGTTAGGAATATGTAGCAGGCTGGGGGCCGATGTGGCCTTGTCGTGGCCAATCGTCTGCCAGGCAATGACTGGCCTGGCAAGGGCATGGCAAAGGGCCAAGCGGACAAGCGCGTTAAAAATCTTCGACAAGAAGCCACTCGCGAAGGAACGGAAAGCAGCACGCCACAGTACAAGTAGCACGGCAGGAACAATTCGGCAATGCCATGCCACAGGGTCAAGGAAACCACAATGTGGGACCGGTGCCCAAACTGTGGACAATACATGACACCACTGCCGCTGAGCAGAGTCCATTTCACAACGAGGGCACCTCGCAATCTCCTTGTGACAACGCTGTCGGATGCGCTCCTGCAATGAGCTCAGGACGTGAGGTTTGCGCTGCCGAGCGAACAACAACCAGCCAAACATCAGAGACAACGAGTGTGACCTGCAACAAACCAAGGCGAACGACTTCAAAGACAAGATTTGGTATCTGCATAAGTTCTGCATCAGTGTCTTCGACAGACAGCAATAATGTAATTTGAAAGTCCTTCGTCCGAGTCTGGAACACCCACAGCCGCAGGAGCGAGTCTAAACTACACCGACGAGAGAGTGCGTTTCATGAGATGGACATGGCCGTTGGCCTGCATGATGCCAGCCATTTACCCCACTGCAGGCCTCTTCTATATATAGCTTGGCCATAGCCCCAAAACTTTGGTGCCGTCATTCCCTTTCCTCCGCAGAAGAAGCACTCGCGGCTTGAATCGCCTTCAGCTCCTCCATCCGCTCCTGATGAAAAGATTGCAGAACACCAGAAGGCTTGAGATGTGGGGTAAGCTGGGATGACGCGCCGTCGCATGACTACAGACTTTCACTCCTTCGTGTGGGAACAGAGCCACCCCCTAAACCCCGATGCTGTACGCGCAGAGACCTCAGAGCTTACGGGCAGTCATTGTCTGGCTCCTTCATGGTGGCATTGATCTTTGCCTTCCGACAGTGAACCGAACATGGTCTCTAAGAGAGAAGAAGTTGATTGAACTTCGCCGGCAGAAATTGAGGGGCTCAGGCTTGGGCGGCCCGGTGGGCAAGCAACTTCTGATCGGCTGTGTTGATCCTCTGCCACGAAACCGTGCCTTGAATCTTTCAAGATACCAGTACCGAATCAAGCAGACATGTTCGATCGCTACGGTCAGCTTGGCCAGGCACTCGTTTCTTCAAAGTAGGTTGTGGTGCCATCTGCCTGCGCTTGCAAGTGCCATCAAGTGCCGCCACACGGAGCACTCCTTCACCGTCACTTGCCTGAAAAAGGACCGGCCCCCGCAGTGCATCGATCTGAACCTCACAAGTCATAACTTGAGCAAAACCATTCTGACATGTGGCGACTCCATCTTAGGAGCGCCACGAAAGCTACAAGAATGCCACGAGGATCAACAGACTCAACGTTAACTTTTAGAAACAACCTTCTCCAGACATCCGTTGACATCCAGCTCGATAGTGCCGCCTGCGGAGGTGAAAAGGAGACAACTTGAGACAACTGCATCAATCAAGGTGTGATGGCGACTTTCGTTGCTCGGGAGCTGCACGCGCACCCGTGTTGCAGGTAAAACGAGCAAAAAACAAAACACGGGCAAGCCCACCGTAGCTGCCCCGCCAGGTCAGGTGTTTCGGCGGTGCCTGATCAGCATGTCATGCCAGTGGTGACGGCAACAAGTGGACGCCGTGACCGCTAACATGACAGCTGCTGAAGTTCACAACTCTAAGGCTTTAGCTGCAAACGAAAAATCTCGAAACTGAAAGGCAGAGAGGATGCTTTCGGATGTGTCCCATTCAGATGAGAGCCAAGGCCTGTAGATCCCTGGCACCGTAGCATCTCTCACCGAACGCTGCTGGAGCGCGGCCGAGGTAAGCTCCTCACGAAGAAACGAGCTGCAAGGGGCCCTTGCAATGTCTTGATGCGATGCAAAACAGAGGTCAAGGGGCGGCCTCCCTGTCTCATGGGACCGCGACGCACGGCACATGCGAAAGGACTTTTGCAAAAGACTTGCGTGCTGCGTGTCGCATACATGAGATGTTGCACGATGTCGGCTCTAAGTTGATTTATGTATGAAGGCATGTCAGTGAGTATTCTATATATATATATACATATATACATGTATACGCATCAGGAACCATCTTTCGCCTGCCTTTGCACGTGCACAACTCTTGATCAAGCAAGCAACACTTCTGCACCACATGCACAGCATGACAAGGCGGAGGTTGAAGCCATCAAAAGATGGAGAAGGATGAGGAGGAGGATGGCACGCGGTAGCAACCGCTACCTTACAACCACGTGTTCCCATCCCAGGCGTACTCCGAAGCACTCATCGCACGCCTGTGCGGAGGTTTCAAGTGGAGGGTGCTAGACTAAAGGCAGCCAAGTTACGAAAGGAAGCAACGCACAAAGGCAGAGAGGGGAACTAAGGAACGGGAGAAGACCCGGAAGGGCAGGAAACTTGACAAAGACCACACAGATGCGAGGCAGGGCACAGACTGTTTTCTGCATGGCAGCTGAAGCTGAGGCGCCCGGTGTCTTGGAGGGCACAGGGGTTCAAGGTCTTCACATCTACAGTGGCCCCTTGCCACTGTCGACTATTCGTATAGCTTTACATGGCTTGACCTTGCACAACCTCTGGCTTCCCTCGCTGCTGTGCAGTTCGTCGGATGCCAGCTTTGCTGGCATCGCCTGATAGCCTGTTTGCTAGCAAAACGGTAAGACGAGGAATACGAGGAATCCCTCAACAGGCAGAGGCATCCAAATCACCTTCACACAGCCTGCATGGAATAACATGGGCTCATGGGCTCTCGTGCCCCGCCTCCCTGACGTCCCCCGTCCCGCTCCGCGTCCCTCGCGTCCCTCGAATGCCGCTCCACGACCCTGAGTCCTGCCCCGTCCGTCACGTCAGCCGCGTCGCCGCCTTTGTCCCTCATGTTCCTTGCGCCCAGGCGTCACCCGCATCCGAGTGCCCCGCGTCTTCCACCGTCCCAACATCCTCCGCGTCCCCAATGTCCTCCGTGTCCCGCCACTCGTCCCGACTCGAGTCCCGCCTCCCACACGATACGAAGTCCATGTTGCCGAGCACACAGTGGCCACCAGAACATCCATGCCTGCACGATAACAACGTCCAGAGCATCCATGCGCGCAAACATGCCCGCACGATAATAGCAACGTCACCAAAGCATCCATGTCCACACGATAAGAACGTGCATGTTCCCAGCACGTCCATAGCATCCATGCCAGTACGGTGAGAGCGTCCATGCTGCTTGTAGCCCCGTGCCCGATATGCTTGCAGGATCTTGCACGAACACCCACGCCACCATGCCGTACCATGAAAACGTTCACGTTACCAAGCATTCTGTCGCCAGAGCAGCCATGCCCGCGTGATAAAAACTTCTTTTACCAGTGCATCCTATGGGCACACTACCATGCCCACCCCATATTAACAACATACTGCTGCGCCCTCCGCCGCAATCGCCGAGTTCCGCTCACCGCATCCGCCGGGTACCTCCCCGTGTCCATCACGTCCCCACCCGCATCCCTCCCCTCTGTCGCGTCCCCACCCGAGTCGCGTCCCCAGACTGGGAAATTCTGGGAAGGGTGTTTTCCTGGCACTTCCTGGCCTGTGAGGTAAACGGATGGGTCGGTGAGCGAGAAACTTAACAACATCAGACCCCCTGAACTGGAGAGCTAGCTGAGTCCCCTGCCTTGTTCCCAAACACAAGGATTAAAATAGGGCAGGTAAGGGATCCTAATTAATCTGCAGGATGCCTCACATGATCGGAATTGTCCCTATCTGACGGACTGACAAATTGTTGGGTGATTTTGGGTGCCTGCTGCGTGCGAGGAGCTAAGCACGATCACTATGCGAATCTAGGCGGCTCGGTTTGTCGGATTCCAGTGGGTCCTCATTTAATGCCAAATGCCAGAGCTCCAGAGTTTAGAAAGAAACCGCAAGCACTCCAGCCGTAATATCGCCAGGCTAAACGGCCTCAAGGACTCACTGGAAATCCTCTGTGCAACACATTCCATGCAGCTTAACGCACGACCGAGAAAATGTGCAGATTGTATACAGCTGTTGCCGAATTCTGCTTCTCACGGCTTCCTTGCAGGATGAAGTACAGCTGTGGACGCGGGATAACTCACAAACCAAAAACCCGGTGTCCAGAGCTGCCCGGAGGCTGCAAGGTCCAGCAATCAAATTGGGGATTTCTGAGACCAAGCTTCACTTGTTGGCCCCAAGGTGAGCTGGAGTCCAGCTCCAAAAGGAATCTTACAGCCTTCCCCATGCACTCTATGCACTCTACGCATTCTATGCACTCTATGCACTCTATGCCACTCGCCGTGATGATTTAATGGAACCAGCTTCACAACACTGGCGAGTCCCCTTGACGCTCATCTGTGCATGTTGTACTATCAGAGCTGTAGTCTTTCACATCGGCTTCCGTCAAAGTCCCAAATGTCAGTTGGTTGAAAATTGTCGGAGACGTGGGCGAGTTTTGAGCATGAAGCATACGCATGAAGTCTTGGAAGGTCACTTCACCATCACCATCGACATCCATCCTTTCGAAGTATTGCCAGGCACTACGACAGTTTGGCACTTCATGGAGGAGATCCGGATCTTGTAGGACGTGCTGCAAGTCTGGGTACGTAATTCGGTTGTCGCCATCGCGGTCGAAGGCTTTGAAAGCTCGCCAGCAAAGCTTCTCATTCTTGTGAAGACGCTGGTCCATTGCCGCGGCAATGAACTCCGTGTACTCTAGTCGGCCATCCTGGTCATGATCCAGATTGTCCATGACTTCGGACACATTCAGCAAAGGGCTCGGATCCTCACTTTGCTCGATCCATGACTTCAAATCCTCCAGCGTCACAAACCCATCACAGTCACTATCCAATCTCTGAAAGGCCTGGCGGATCTCTTCCTGCTCCTCATCCGTGAGTTGGTAGGCAGCAGCCGTCAGCGCAGCCTTCTTGAAGCGATTTTTGGTGCTAAAGGCCTTCAAGTTTGCCAAGAGATCGGGGTGTAGAGGCACGTTGGCTTCGGGAGATCGCTGGAACCAGCCATGGTTCAATGCATCTGCGGCTGTGACCCTCTGCTGCACATCCTTCTGGAGGCACTGACAGATGAGATCCTTCGCCGCATCTGAGACTGGCGACCAGCGAGTTCCCCGCATCGCAAACTTACCTCGCATGACTTTCCGCATGATTTGGTCATCTGTCGAAGCGTGGAAAGGCGGCGATCCAGAGAGCAAACAGTACATCATGACCCCGCAGCTCCAAATGTCGCAGGCATGGTCATACTTCTGCTGTAGGACTTCGGGTGCCACATAGAGGATGGTTCCGAAAGCTGTGTGCAGATGTTCGCCCGGCTCACAATACTCGGCCAATCCAAAATCGATTAGCTTCACAGGATTCTTCTCCAAAGGGGCACCACGCTTTTGCAGGATGAAGTTTTCCTAAGCTCATATTCAGGCTGCCCTCTTCAAGCTAGAGGAACCCCAAACCGAAAACTGCCAAAAAGTCCGCGCCACTGGCTTCAAGTCACGATGGACGATGTGCTTGTCGTGGCAGTGTGCCACTGCGCCAAAGACCTGACGCATGATGGTCTGGACAGCTGGCTCTGTAAGATGAGTTTCCTCGACCAAGTGATCGAAAAGCTCCCCACCCTCACACAGCTCCATTACAAGGTAGATGCTCTCTTCATCCTCGTACGCGACATATAACCGGACAATGCTAGGATGATCCATCTCCCGCATCATCTCGATCTCCTTGCGCACGTCATCCAAGGCGAAGGCTTTTGCCTTGTCACAGAGCGACATCGAGTGACCAGCGGCTCAGGGGTGTGGCTTTACGGGTTGGGGCTAGTAGCGGCTAGTGTTGGGAGGCTCTGCAGGCTTCAGGAAAGAACCAGGAAAGAACGGCCCAAATGCGGACCAGGTTCCTTGTCGATACGCTTCACAGCTCGCATGGCACCAATGCATCGGTCGCGAGCCTTGCGCACGGTGCCAAAGGCACCCTCCCCTAGAGTCGTCTCTTCAAGCTCATAACGATCCCAGATGCTGGTCTTCTGGGTAATGTCAGCTAGTGAGGTTGCGTGGATGAGGCGCGATCTCACGCAGTCGCTCTTGGTGCGCTGCCTTTTCAATGGAAGCTTTGGAACCATTGGGGGTGATGTTGGCGAAATGCTTGTCGAAGCACACGAAGAGGAGTCTTCAGCCATTGCGGGCACCTGCGCCGACTCCTTCGGCTCGTCCTTCGGCTCGTCCTTCGGCTCGTCCTTCACTTCCAGACCTGGGCTTCCGAAGTGTAGGAAGATCCGCCCAGCCAAAGGTGAAGGCCACGAGCGGTTCGGGCATGCCTCCCATTCGATGTCGCCACCCCGTCCTAAGACTTGTTTCGCTCTTCTGTAGTGAAACTTTAGTGACTCTAGTCATCGGCCGTGAGACAAGACTCTCTCCTTCAATATCTCCCAGCGGTCCTAGCGTCGTTTCACAAGCAGCTTGAAGTCACCGGAACAAGGAGGGAGCTGTAGCTTCCAGAGGGGAAAGGTCTCCGGATCTGTGTGCAGCTTCAGCGATCTCTCGACTTGCCAGGCTCCGAGAGCCTCGTCCCAGCCGCAGAGGCGCAGCTCATCTCCACAAGATGTCCTGGAGCAAAACGCCTCCAAGATGCAAGGCGATGCCATCGGAAAGCGATTACGAGTCTTCAGGTATAAAGTAGCAGTGTTTTCTTGCTGTAGGAGTGGCACACGCACGCTTCTGAACATGCACAGCTCCTGTCATGGAATCTCGACGGGAAGTATGAGCAAGTACCGACATGATTTCTCTCTGAAGAGGCCATCTCGTTTTAAACCAGCTTTCAGCCTGTCAGCATGCCAGCACGCTGTCAGATTTAATGTTTGTGCAGACAGCAGAGATGTGAAATGTCAATGGAACACATGCACACATGCACCCATGCCGAGAGAATGCAACAGCGGCACAAGATTTTGTTGCATGCTGGACACACTTTGATGCACGAGGATAGTATAAAGAATACTGTACTCGGCCAGCATTCGGATGATACCCACGCACTCCCCACACTTCTGAAGATGGGGCTGTGAGACATCGTGGTGACCATCCGGAGAAAACCTGGGGGCACTCGCAACCTCAACCGCCTCAAACCGCCTTAAACCGCTTTAGCCCTCAGCCGCAGAGATGAGTGCGCCCAAAGACCGGGCAGGTGCTGCTTTGCCATAGATCGAGGAGTGCGTTGGAGACTGGGGTTCCAGGATCGCCGTGGAGTGGAGCGTGTCCATGAACTCGCTGAAGGAGACCGTGCCATTGCCTTAGTCTCATGAGCACCGGATGACTTCATCGTTGAGTAGCTGAACTGCTCACACCCAGCATCGCTTAAGACTTCTGAAAACTTGGAGAGCTCATGAAAGCACATCCAAGCAGCTATCCTTATCCATGGACTCGAAGATCTTTGCAGTGCTCTCAATGCTCTGGCCTTCCATCACTTTGCTTAGCTCATCGCCCTGAAGCACCTGCTTGAGCTCAGACACCGTAATCGAGCCACTGCCATCCTTATCGAAGGCTTTGAAAGCGCGCCAACACAGCTCCTCATCCTTCTGCAGCTGCTGGTCCATGGCGGCGGCAATGAACTGCGTGTACTCAAGCCTGTTGACTTGGTGAGGAAGGGAGGCGAAGCTCATGAGATTAATGAGATTGCCTCTTACTAGAAAGAAGTTTCTGTTTAAGATGTACGGGAAGGTGTGAGTCGAGGAGCTTCCCCTGGGGGTTAGCAAGTCCCTTGAACAGCTCTGTGAGCTTCGTGCCCGACTGCTCTACATGCGGTTTGAGACCTTCCTCTATCTCCGCTAAGCTCAGGAAGCCATCTCCGTTCTTGTCCATTTTGGTGAACGTCTGCCGCAGTTCATGCCGCTCGTCCGCAGTAAGGTGATATGCAACCGCTATAAGCGCAGCCTTCTTGAAGCGGTTCGCCATGCTGAACGCCTTCAAATTCACCAGCACGTCTTCATCAAAGACGCAGCAGTCAGAAGCTGCAGCCCCCGCCCCCGATTTGAACCAGCCATGCGCCATGGCGTCCAGAGCCGTGATCCGCTTCTCGGTGTTCATCTCTAAACATTGGCCTATTAGGTCTTTAGCCAAGGCAGATACCTTATCCCAAATCGGCCCATCAAAGCTGTACTGGCCACGCTTCACCTTCCTCAAGATGTCAATATCTGTCCTGCCGACGAAAGGTAGGCGGCCGCAGTGCAAGGCATACATGATCACACCGCTGCTCCAAATGTCCACCCCCTTTCCATACGTGTGCCCCAACATCTCTGGAGCCACGTAGTACGGGGTACCCACTGCTGTGCTGAGGGTCTGGTCGTCTCTGCAGTAAGTGGCCAGTCCGAAGTCAATGAGCTTCAGCGGTGTCTGGTCAACCTCCCGAGTCTTCGACATCAGGACGAAGTTCTCAGGCTTGAGGTCCTCGGCTGCAACGTCTCTTTGGCCCGATGTGTACAGTTGGTGTTAGTTTGCTGTTGATTTGCTGCTGACTTGCCGTTGATTTGCTGCATGTTGGTCAAGTGCTGTTGCTTTTGCTTGTGCTGCTACTGACAGTTGTCAAATCCTCCTCCAGATGACTCCAACGTCCATGTGTGGTAACCTAGACCATGCCCAACCTTTTGGTCCGGCAACAATCCGACTCAACGGGTGCAGGCGGCTCTGTGCACCACCCCGCGCGAATGACAGTACGCGATGGACGAGAAGATCTGCCTAGGCTGTTTCAAGATGCAGCTATGCAGCATCTGCTAGTCTGACGAGCCTTTTGTCTGGGTTTCGAGACGCGACAGGCCAACGCAGCATAACGCAGCCAACGTGCTTCATAATCTTTCGTGCCACTGGCTCCGTCAAGAAATTTCCATCTGCCAGCCGATCGAAGAGCTCGCCGCCCTCACAAAGCTCCATGACCAAATACAGGTTACAGTGGTCTTCATAAACCCCATAAAGCCTCACGATGTTGGGATGGTCCATGCTCTGCATGAGCTGGAGTTCCTGTTTCACCTCCTCCATGTGTGTCACTCGTGACTTCAAGACGACCTTCACTGCGCGCGAGGCCCCCGTCTCCTTGTCGCAGGCCTTGAAGACACGCCCAAAGCCGCCTTCACCAAGCAAGTCTGTGTCCAGATCAAACCGGTCCTCGATGTTCTTCTTGAACTTGTCCGAGGAGTTGTACACCAAGCGCTGTCGGATGTCCAGGTGCGACTTGGCTCTGTGACCCCTGGGCACAGGCAGTACTTTGCTGTCCTTGCCCTCTTCATCATCAAACTTCACCCGCGGCTCTTTTGCGACCTGTAAATCCGGGTCTCCATATCTGAAGCAAAGCTTCGAGCCGTCGGGAACATCAGGCCAGGATCGGTTGTCGGGCAGCGACTCCCACTCAACTGCACCGTCCCGTCCTAAGAACTCTGCAAAGTTGCATGGCGTGTCCTGGCACAGAAACCATGCCATCCGATAAGCTGCGGACTCGTGCAGATGAGTGTCGCTTGATGATGAGCTTGAACTCTGCTCCAACCACCTTCTGGGCCACTTCCGCCGTCCACCTCTCAAAAGTCTGTCGGGAAAAACGGAATGTTGGATCGCACAGCACTTGCACAGACTTGGCATTCCCAACCTGGGCCAAAGCTTCGGACCCGTCTTCAACTCCAGTGCCTTGCTCGCCTCCCAGTCCCCAAGATGAGGATTGGAGCCACAAAGGCAAACCTGGGAACGAGATTCGAGTCAGAATGGGCTCCTACTTGCGCCTGGTCCTGCCCATGACACAGCTCATGAAGGCCTACAGTGCACTCGCTACTCCTTCTGCTGAGTTCACTCATCAGATGGCAGGCCACCGTCAAGCAAAGCGATGTCGCTATTTGGCGCTGTTGGGGCGCTTACACACTCTCGTGAGGTATCTCAAGGTCGTGGCATCACGTGCATTGCACTCATCGAACTCATCAAACAACACAAGCCGTGCCTGATCACCATCGTGGGTGAAGGAGCACTCGGCCTCGACCCTTACGACCATGGCAGGCTACAGCAGCCCCCAGCCCCTCTGGCGTAGTAGCGCGCTGTATTGCGCAGCTGTAGGCTGGATGGGTTTGGGTTGAATGGAAGGGCCGGTCCTTTTACGTCGTATCGCTGGAAGCCTGAGCTACTCATGGACACCACAATACACCACAGAGGAACTTTCACGGATCCCTGCGTACTAGTTCGGTGTGAAGTTGCCGGTTGCGAACTGTTGCTGAGCAGCAGGTGGGCCACGTGAAGAGTTCGAAGTGAGCGTGGAGAGAGTTGCGTCAAAATCGGCTGAGCAGCACAAGTCGAGCTGCCCGGGAGCTGCATTGGCCGCTCCACTTTTTGACATAATCAATGCTTAAGGCAAGCTTGATGTCACCACTCCTGGGAAACAGCCCACACCACAGAGCCATCCAAGGTCAAACAGACCCAGAGGATGCCAGAGGATGCAACAGACATCGACAGACGATGCCCCAACTTCACTTGCGATGAGCACGCTCAGTTGTCACCCATGAGGCCATCGACGAAAATCACCTGACGCGAACTGTGACGTGTCGCACCGAGGGATGAGTAGCTTCTGAGATGCCTCTGCAACCCTGTCTCATCCTGTCTCAGATTCAGGATGTTCAAGGGAAGGCCTGATCGCCCACGACCTCGCACTTGGCTTTCTTGTTGCCGATGCGGATCTGCAAAGTCAAGGCTGGCTAGGGTAAGCTGACAGGATTGCATGCAGGACTCCCCTTTACATTGCTGCAAACTCCGCGCTCGCCTCAACGTCCAGGTCAGTGTCACTGCCGTCCTTCGACGCCTGCCCAAGTCGCATTTCTACTACAGCCTGCAGCTTGCCCTCATCAAGACTAAGTTTGAACCTACACTGACATTCCCAGTCTACAATCCTTGGCGTCTAGCACAGCCAAACACACTCGGCCTTCAACGTGAAGACGCGATTCGTTGCAGGACTGATCCTGGACAGAGGGTGGATTCGTCTCCTGTGTGAAGCAAGTACCCAAGGACACAAGCACAACTCGCACTTTGTAGCCCGGTACATCCAAGTGCGGAGGCACAGAGGCCACGTTACAAGGACAACCAGACTTGATGTGGGCCAAACACCGCAGTGCGCATTCAAAGGCTGTATGAGCATTATTGAACATGCAAAAATCCACTCGCACGAGGTCCGGACGTACCCTCAGCCAGCGCGCTGCGGAAGAGCCGCGACTGCAGGGGAGTGGATGTGGGTGTGCATGTATGCACTACACGTATACATGCTGGGCAGACGCCGACAAACATGAGCCACTCTTGCAAATACCTGAGACGGAGTCTGAGACAGTGACAGCAGCGTGGCTGTGACCCGGCTCGAAAATCTTCACTTGCACGGGTTCGTCGGTACAGTTTGCTACCTCCCATGCAGGTCTGGGGGGTCTAGGCAGCGCGGATCAAGGCTATTCCAGACAATCATGCGGGCTTGTCATCATTTAGTCAAAGTTCCTTCTGAATCTAGCGTCGGAAAACACTCTTGATCTTGTACCTAACGCATCCCGAAGTTCAACTTGACTTGCTTTACTCCGCGGGTTGCAGAGGACTGTCCCGCGCCTCCAACGTCGTAGTTGGTTCATCCACAGGCTTTTGTGGCTCACCCGGGTCGTTGCTTGCTATGTCGGTAGCTGCGACCTCTCCCCCAAGCTTGGGCTGAATGAGGTCCTGCAACTGCATACGAACAGCAAGCATGAGAAAATGGCTCCCGCAGTGTCGTCCTCATCCTCACACTTGCCATCCGAAGTGTATCGGCCATCACCCTGGAAACGTGCGTCAACCCAAAACAACCCAAGATGCAGATGGCTATGATACTATGGGTTCTTCATGGTGCTTCGTCAGAAAGCTTCAAAAGGCGCCTCTCGGTCACCCACGCGAAGTCCACAATCGACACTGATGAAGCTAAACACTCCACCTTCTCGAAACGCACAGTCCCCGACCTCAGTTCAGAAAAAACAAGCTTTGAAATGTTGCTTTGGGCCTCGCTCCTGCCAGCGTTACGAAGCGTTTCTTCTGCGGAATGACGAAAATGCTAAAGCAGGAGGCGATCACGGCCCGGAGGACTGCCCCGGAAAACTGCTCCGGAGGACTGGCCACGTTTCGAACGCGGCATGTGCGAGCGCAATTTGTCTGCCAACGAACGATGGATAACTCTCAACTTCCTGCTGTTTCCTGGAACCACATTTTGGAAGGACCAGCTAGAATTTGAAAGAAATCTGAGGCCTACTCAGGGGATCCCAAATGCTTGGAGAAGGTTTGTAGAGGCACTTGGCGCAAAGGCCAAACCACACCTGACGATGCCAGCAACTAAGGTCCGGGTATTGAGCTCGAGCATCAGTGACCATCTTTTTCGCGAGCTGGCGCTATTGGCAGTTGCCCTCGTGGAACCCCGTGACGACCCTCAGCGCGCCCTGGAGAGTCTGTAGCGGCCCGCCCAAGTCTCGGGAGCAGGGGCAACACTTCGGGTTCTCGATCCAAACTTCGCCACATCCACACACCAAAATGTCAGAGTATGAAACAATTCGGAAGCAACAACTGACTTGCGTCTCGGCACCACTTCAGACACTCATGGAATGATCAGAGAGTCTGCATGCTCCGACATGTACTGCACAGCCAATCACATGTCTGATTGAGCTCTGCGCCTTGGTGTCGCCATATGCAAAGTGTCCTTTCCTAAGTCATCGAGCTAACAGGCTCAAAGATGCGACATCTGAAGTGACGCCCGAAGGCCCACGTATGGTGGCCTGAAGGCCCCTGCCAGCCCCAGTTCGTGTCTGGCTTTGGCGGGAGAGGCACCACCTCACTTCAGGCAGCCCGAAGCCAGCCCTTGCAATGTCGTTGAAACCCCTACCCCCCTTCCCCTTCTCCCGCGAGCAGGCTGGGTGGCTTGGCTCGGGCAGGAAGGCCTAACAAGCCTGAAATGGTAGAGCCAGTCAGAGGCAGTAACCTCCCCAGCATCCCTTGTCCAGGTTTCCTTGTTTCCCAAACCCCAAAACCCTCAAAACATAGAACCGCGTCGCCAGGGTGTGCCGATACGTGCTGATGCTGAGATGCCGGCGGCGAGCCTTTGAGGTGCTATGACCAGAGCACTGTCGTCCTTCTTGGAGTAGCTGCCAAGCGTGAAGGCCTGCAAAAGTCAGTGCGTTTCCGGCTCTGCATTCGCTGCTAGCGAATGCATCTTTGTTGTGCGAAAATGGCCTTCTTCATGACGTTGCCCAAGGGGTGGTGGTCCAGTGCCTGCGTCCAATCGCCTCCAGAGTCGCCCTGTCCACTGATGTGGCTTACAAGCCTCGGCCTGGCACGGGTGGCACGGGAGGCACGGGTGGCTCACAGGTGGTCGGGAGCATGGGGTATGGCACCACCGCGACCACGATGGCCAGCTGTGTTTGACGTGACCATTGCCACACTCGTGACTCTGAATGTGGCTCAAAGGGGTGGATTTTGAGGCCCCTGTTTTTTTTTTTTTTTTGGGGGGGGGGGGGGGGGGGGGGTTCTGTGGGTAGGGGCGCTTTAGGGCACTGCGCAGCACACTTTCGGCTTCTGGACTTAGGGCCCAAGGCCTGCGGAGGTATAGGTAAGTTTTAGAGTTTAGAGTTTAAGGCTTAGGATTTGGGGTTTAGGGTTTAGGGAGCCAAAAAAAAAAAGGACCACAAAAAATGGGCCCACGCTACGTACTCGCTGATGCATCTTGGCACGTTGATGCCGACGTAGCATTGGTGCGATTCCAATCATTTTCCTTCTACCGGAAGAACTGGCTTGGTAATTCAAAAAGTGCTGCTGAATCCACAGCATCAATGAAACCATACGATGAGTCCCCAAGTCGGGCCGGATCCGCTTGACCAGAATTCGCCTCACTGAGGCATTGTGCACGAGTACCTGGCAAGGGTATGAAGTTTGTGCCTGTAAAATGTTTCCCGGCTCTTATTTGCTATGCCACATGAAAAATCATGAAAAGCAATGACAAATCCTTAAGTAGACTTAGACGCTCGAATTTCACTTGCTGCTCGCATAGTTCCCATCTTCTTTCACCCCTGCATCCTCCGAAGCGCTTCGAAACATGTGGCTTCAACTTCACTCGCCAGCATGTAACCAAAGCAGCAACCCCTAAATACCCTGAACTCCACATTCAACGATCTTGCAGATCCAAAGCCGGCAAGCAGGACGCATCCTCGCTTGCGCTCGGACGGCAGAGCCTTCCACTCGGCCAGCTTGGCCTTTGCCTCTTCAGCTTCTACAGGCATGTGTTGCACTGCAGTCGGACATATACAGTACTGAATATACTGCACTGCAGGCTCCCACATAGATTCCAATGTCTCTTAAATAAGGCCACCTGTTCATGCTGCCGAGGGTATGAAGCTTAGTGTTGTCCGACGCGTACCCTCAAACCAGCGGCAAAGCTCCCGTTTTTGTCTGCCAGACAAAGTCGGGAATGAAACTCGCCAGCAAGCTGACACGATAAACAGATTGCCTTGCAGATGCGGCCTTTTGGCTTCAGCACCGTGCGTGCACCCCAGCAGGGGCACAGCGCAACGTTCAAAGCAATCGACTGCCGGGCGATTACACCATTCTAGATAAACTCGCCAGAAAGGACGAAGGTGACGGATACCATGCCTACCATTCCACGACTCTAACATCGGTACAGAAATACTTCTGCACAGGGCTAGATTGCAGCAAGTTGCCATGCTGTAAGCTGCAAGCCGCTGCATCATGCCGTCCATCCCTCCGGCCCAGTCTTAGAGTCTTAGAGAAACAGAACTACGCAGGTACAGTCGTCCACGTAGGCACCTGGCAGGGTTTGCACATCATGTCATTGGAGACAGGGACAGTGACAGGCCTTGCTGCACTGAGCCACCGCATCTAGCCCATGCCCAACCTAACTGTGGACACAGCCAACAGCAACAACGCCTCGTTGTTGCCAGACCCGTCGTGCTGAAGAGGTCACGGCCTCCGCAGCCTTCGAAACAGCCGCACAACGCAGGGGTCTCGACGCAACTGGGGGGAGGCAAAGTCTCGACCTGGTTTATCCCGGCTTATCCTGGGTTATCCTGGTTGCCCTTGCCACGTGCCACAGCGCTGTTGGGGGGGGGGGGGGGGGCGCCTTGGTCGCTTCTCGGCCTTCAATAAACTGGCGGCAGCAATGTAGTACCTGAAAGCAGCCAGTGGCTGACACAACTTGACTTATAGCTAACGACAGCGTCTTTGGAAATCAACGGCCTGACTGAACCGTCTGCCATGTCCCGCCTCTGCATCGGACAGCACATCGAAGACCCCATCCGAGCCAACAACAACGACAACATCTTCCTGGCGACAAAGAGACGGCGGGCTGGTGTCCTGAACTGAACACCTCACACACGTTCCTATCATGTTCGCAGTCCTGTGGGACGAGCATCATTTCATGTGCCGTTGCCTCAGGCGAGAGCCCGCAAGCCTTGCCTCGGCACCGCTTGACAGGCTCCATAAATTGTCTTACACAGTGGCGTCAAGATCTCTAGCGGATACCATCGCTCCAAAGAGCCCAACGCCTGGAGCCAAAATCTTCGGTTAATCCGAGGATCTCCGAGTTCCACCTCAGGACCCTTGCTTCTCATCCCTCACAATGTCTCCCCCAGGCCCGGGCCCAAGGTGTCGCCCAGCCCACGGCTCATGGCCAGGCCGGGAGCCTGGCCTTTGAGCCTGTGCCAGAGCCTCGCCCAAGAAACGTATGCAAAGGTAAGATTCCAAGTTGAGAAGGATGGAGTGTGTGTCGGAATGGAAAAAATTGGATGCATCGCCATGCATCCCTTGAAGGGAGCTTCAGGTTCCGGTATTGGTTAGCTCTTGCTGTGTTGAGTCTTACTGCCACTGCTCGACACTCTGCCAGCTGGGAAATCCCATCTTGAACTCGCACATCTCGCAGCTCTGAACGATGGCAAAATGCCCAAAGAGGGCCAAACAAAGATGAAGCCTGGCCTAGGGGGCCCCAGCATGGATGGATCCACACCCGCCGGCCCTGGCATCTTCTGCCTTAGGGTGTTGGATGCTGAAAGCACAACCGGACCGAGTAAGCACGGGAGGCTGCCCAAAATATTCTGAGAAGTGGCGCAAACAGCCAAACAGCCCCTTAAGCCGTCCTCACGGTTTGTATGTGGGGTGTGTGTGAGTTAGTGTGTGCGTGAATGAGTGAATGAGTGAGACTGTGTTGTGTGTGTGTGCACGTGTTCGCGCTCTGGAATATGAGCCCGCAGCACCCGACCACCAGCCGCTACCAGCCGAGCAGCCTGCAGGTCTCCAGCAAGGTTCCCAAAAACTAAGACACACAAGTCGATTGCACCATGGTTCGATGCTTTTCTCCAAAGAACATACACAGCCATCCTCGATTCAACCTGTCAAGAAAGCTTGGAATTTATAGAAGCACACGCACGTACTCAGAATTGCGAAGCGAATGTTTCCTTCTCTAAACAACCCTTGCCAAATCGCTGAACAACAAGGTACTGTACCACCCAACATTGAAGAGAACTGACCAACATAAAGTCATCCAGAATCCAGAACATCTAGAATCCCTGTTCTTTTCTACCACTATCTTAATTATACCAATACCAAACTACATCTCTTGTGCTGAGTGAGACTCTCATACCACATCTGATATTAGTGTTATAGCAAGAAGCCGGAAAGTGCTCAAAACCCAGCTCCGGGCCTCCGCGGCCTCTCCCGGCCGGTGGTCTTCCGTGAGCCGAACTGTGGTCCAGGTGGGCCTCGGAGACTTGCTTAGAGAATATTCGAGAAGATCACTCTCTGCATCTACTTTTTTGAACTCTGCAAACTCGGGCCTAAGACTCTAGGAGCTTGAAAGTGCTGCATTTGGCGTTTGATGGGCCAGCTTGGGTCTATGATGGCTACGGCTAAGATTCGGAAGAAAAGTTCATCCCAGTGAACACGACGAGTGCCCAAACTCATCATAAATCCCAACTCACATCCGATTGTGGTCCAACACGAAGCCATGGCGGACCAAAACCCGAGTTGCAAATGAGCATCCAATTCTTACACGCCTTTTGGCTTTCACTGCTTCAAACATTCAAACATTGCAACTCGCAAGCATGATGTGATGACACACAACTTCCCAGTGCAGCTCCTGCCCCATATCAATAGAAGTGATTTCCGAGGCCGCAACAGTGCTGAGACTGCATTCAAGATTAAAAACCACTCACTAACCCCCACACATCCATGCGCTGTCTCTTCAAAGGGTTGTGCAACACTGCATCGAGCAAAGGGCGAGCCGGTGCCATTGACCAGTCGCACGCGGCCCAAGACCTGAAGACGGACTCGACAGATTCACAGCCGAAAAGTGCTGAAAAGTGCTGTGAGCTTGTTCGAGAGCAGTCCCTGTCCATCCTGCGGAAAAACAGTGGGAAAGCTGCAGCAACCTCATGCATGACAGCCCCAAAAGAAGATGGCCCACCAGCGGGCGGCGATCAGCTGAAGAATCACGAGATTCACAGAGAACTAGCATGTGCCGATAGCGTCGCTTCAGCCTTCATAGGACTTGCTGCCCCTTGAACTGGTGAAAACGAAGAAGAGATGAAGGCAACATCACAGCGACGGGCACGCTGCCAGCAACAACTTGCCACGCCATGTGAAATTGGGAACAGTTCAGACACTGCAATGACCAAAGATGCATGCGAAAACTGCTGTCTCAAACGCACACCCTGGAGCAAAGCACTCAACTTCTTGGAGGAGGCGGGGGCGGGCGCGTTGCGTAGGAGAAGTCTTGCAGCTTGACGGACAGATCAAGGCTGAGGCGGCTCGGCAGTCTCCAAGGTGAGCCAAGGCCAGCCTATACTTGCGATCAAAAGCTGCAGAATCCAGGTTCCATCACGTTTCTTCCTTGTTTGTTCCTAAACATCGTCACAGACACCGAAACTCGATCCCGCAGGCCTGCGCTCGGCATGGCCCAGGCCCTCAACCCTTATCACGGCGCCTCATTGGGCAAGAGAAATCAGATGATCATCTTCAACACATGTGCTTGCATGGTCCGATTCTCTGCTTCCCAAGGCAAGGCACAAGTCGCGCCAGAGAGCTCTGCCTCCACTTCCGCCTGCGGGATTCCCCCAAGATCTCCAAACACAAAGAGCCCATTACAGACTGGTGTGGCGAGGCCATGCACCTTCTCGTGGATCAACAGGTCCGCGTCTACGGTCATGATGAGCTGACACCAGTATGGCGGAAGACCATGCAAAATTCTTGAACCCACGGCCCCATTTTGAAGAATCTTCGTATTGAATGGTGAGTCATCTTGACATGTGGGGATGGCAAGGGAGGGGCACCAGTAGTTGTCTGACAAGTTCATGTTCTCTTGTAACGCACAGCGTGAAGCGCCCAACCTCTCTACAAGCCTGGGGTCAGGAGGCCTCGCAAACCCTCGAGAACATACAGCTAAGCGCAGGATCACACAACATGCTAACATGCTTGACACGAGAATACTCTTGGCTTGATAAACATGCATCCGACGCCCTCGATGGCAGCAGTACCATGTGGGCCTCGGCCAGGGCTTCCGACATGCCCGGGCCGCCTTTCAGCCTCAGGTCTCAGATCTTTCAGTTTTAAGTGTTTTGAAAAGAGCTGCGAAGCGTTGCTACTGCTTCTCTGGCCGTCTTGGCATGGTCATCGTTACCACGATTCTGCTCTTTCTTGAATCACTCTCAGTCGCATCCAAGCAGTACCCAAGCAGTACCCCAGCCTTGCCCGCCCTCAAACTCGGAATCCTACTGAGGCGGCAGCTGCGAAAGTGCCCTGGCGAAACTATCCCGCGCGGCAGCTGACAGAACCTCTCGGACTCTCGGAGTCTTTGACACGAAAACACTTCTCGACATCTTCAAAACCCCACAGAAGCCCTCCGAGCACGGATGCTGACTCAATTTTGCTCTCTTCGTCCGAGGCTGCGGCTTGGCCTCGCTTGCCATGACCTGATTCAGGAGATCCCCCCCGAGGAAGTGTAGAAGAAACACAACATCCCCTGAGTCAGCGGACCTTTTTAGACACAGATGCTTCTCCGGGCCCCCGCACCATCCACTACAGCTATGCTGGCAACAGGGCCGTCTACAAGTGCGTGGAAGGTATCCTGTGCTCGGCCATCTGTGCCCCATGCTGCAACAGCATCAACAGCTGGCCTGATTCTCCTTCTGCTCACCATTTCGCCTCTGCTGAGATGTTCTGATCAATGTTGCGCCGAAATTTACCGAAATCA